TAATATAATTTTTATTTATAATTTTTTTTTAATTTTTTTTAATTTTATTTAATTTAATTTTTATATTATAAATTATATTAATTAATATTATTTTAAATAATTAAATAATAAATCTTTTATTATTTAAATTATTAAAATTTTTAAAAATTTTTAAATTATATTTTAAAAAAAATAAAAATTTTAAAAATAATTATTAATATAATATAAATTTATTTAATTATTATTAAATAATAATTTATAATAAAAATTATTAAATATTTATTTATAATTATAATAATTAAAATAAAAATAATTTATTAAATTTTATATATTATATTAAATTTTATTAATTATTTTATAATTTTATTTTATATAAACGATTTTTATTTTTAATTAATTATAATAGTTTTTTTAATATTATTAAAATAAAAATTAAATTTTTTTAATAATTTTTATATAAAATAAAAAAAATTTATTTTATTTTTTTTTTAAAATAAAAAAAATAATTTTTTTTTATTATTTATTAAAAACTATTTATTTAATAATAATAAAGGAGTTTTTTAATTAAGTTTTTTAAAAGTTAATAGAAATAGCTATTATCTTAAGATCTTTAAAAAAGGTAGTAAAAGTAATTATAAAAGATATTTTATTTAATAGCTAATTAAACGAAATATAGTTTTTATTAAAGGGGTATTTAAAAGGTAGGGTACCTGTAGGTGTAGGAGGGAAGCTCATTTACCTATTACTGTTTACAAAGCATAAATACTCTTCTCGAGAAATATTCGTTCCTACAATTGCCACCTTGGAAATCATCTTCCTCTCAGGCCATATTGGATTGTGAGAATTCAATTCGCTCACTCATTTTTTATGAATAGAACCAGAAGGATTAACAGCATAAAGCTTAATTTAACCACAGCGGAGCATTTAGACAATTCAAAGTCGAAAGCCGACTTACCAATATCCTACCTATGATAGTAATATATTGTTGTACTTGAGCTTTTTGTTTTGTTAAACTACAAATTTCAGGACCTACGTGGAAAATCCTATACTGTACGCCGACGCCATTATGGGCAACGAAGACGCAATTGTCATTATAATGTAGTTGAGAGACAAGCGGATACATTTACAGCTGATCTTAGCCTATTAAATCTCTCAGGCTATTAAAATAAATATACTAGGACACAGAGGCCAATACTGCATGACATTTGAAAGCCATGCCTCTACAGATCACTCCAAGCACCAAGGTAGTATTCAGAAGCTCTTACCAACGGCTATTATGTTTTGTGCCTTTTTCCCTCGGACCGACTGCATATTATGTTGTGCTCGTAAAAGATGCCATGTGGCAAGAATGTGTTGAACTCATTAGCCTCTATTTGGCACCCTATTCCATATTCAGTCATCTCTGTTACATTTTATCTTCTTCAATCACCAACAGAGTAGAAATTGCGACATAACTCACGAACTATAGAAGTATTAGCCGCAAACTATGGCTATATTATCTATGATGCTACGTCTTTTCTAGTAACTGTGCATTCTACCAGCTTATTTAATGGGTAATATGCATTGAGGCGGGGGATAGAATTCATTAGCCGCCACTCAAGGCTATACTGCGTTGCAAATTCCCCGGGCTTTATCCTGTGATGCCGAATACTACATTATCATGTCACCAAGTACAGGTACACGCAGATATCACCGTGGTATAAAATGAGCTTCATTTCCCCAAAAGAAATTCTGACGTGATCTCGTACAACCTCAACGCAAGCAGTTTCTCGGTTCACTTTCAGAGAATATCAACATGGTTGCAGGAATTCTTGTGTCTCTGGCCGCGCTGGCCACATTGGCAGCCAGCGTTCCTGTTGAGGAACGACAGGCTTGCTCAGGCGTTTGGTATGGTGATATTTTTTTTTTAATTGGATGCGGGGCAAAAAAGCTAATGGCTGGTTAGGGGTCAATGTGGTGGTCAGAACTGGGCTGGACCATTTTGTTGTGTTTCCGGAAGTACATGCGTTTTTTCAAACGACTATTACTCTCAGTGCCTTCCAGGCGCCGCAAGCTCAAGCTCTTCTACTCGCGCATCTTCAACAACTTCTCGTGCGTCGTCAACCTCGACCAGATCAAGCACCACGACGCCCCCGCCTGGTTCTAGCACTACATCAGCACCGCCAGTGGGATCAGGAACAGTAACTTGGCAGGGCAACCCCTTTTCGGGAGTTACACCTTGGGCCAATGCCTATTATGCGTCCGAAGTCAGCACCTTGGCCATTCCGAGTTTGACTGGAGCTATGGCTACTGCTGCGGCAGCCGTAGCAAAGGTGCCGTCTTTTATGTGGCTGTAAGTTCCCCAGTCTTGGCCGGAAATTGCAATACATTGACCGACGTTGCAGCGATACCCTGGACAAAACCCCCTTGATGAGCCAGACATTGTCGGACATTCGTGCCGCAAACAAGAATGGAGGTAATTATGCTGGACAATTCGTTGTCTACGACCTGCCAGATCGCGACTGTGCTGCCCTCGCCTCTAACGGCGAGTATACCATCGCGGATGGCGGCGTGGCCAAGTACAAAAATTACATCGATACCATCCGCGGAATCGTCACAACCTTTTCTGACATTCGCATCCTCTTGGTTATAGGTGAGAGCACCATAAAATGTACAAATCTACGCTGCTTTGAATTTACTCTAATCATGCCCTCATCTAGAGCCCGACTCTCTCGCGAATTTGGTTACTAATCTCGGCACTCCGAAGTGTGCGAACGCCCAATCTGCGTACCTAGATTGTATCAATTACGCTATCACGCGTCTAAACCTCCCAAATGTTGCGATGTACTTGGATGCTGGCCATGCCGGATGGCTTGGTTGGCCAGCGAATCAAGACCCAGCAGCTCAATTGTTCGCAAACGTGTACAAGAATGCATCATCTCCTCAAGCTGTTCGTGGGCTGGCAACAAACGTCGCTAACTACAATGCGTGGAATATTACCTCCCCTCCTCCATACACTCAACAAAACTCCGTTTACAATGAAAAATTGTACATTCATGCCATAGGGCCTCTTCTTGCCAATCATGGTTGGTCAAACGCCTTCTTCATCACTGACCAGGGTCGGTCTGGTAAGCAGCCAACTGGCCAGCTCGAGTGGGGTAACTGGTGCAATGTTATCGGTACTGGATTTGGTATCCGTCCGTCTGCAAATACTGGAGACTCGTTGCTAGATGCCTTTGTCTGGGTTAAACCAGGTGGTGAGTGTGATGGTACCAGCAACAGCAGCGCACCTCGATTTGATTCACACTGTGCTTCTCCTGATGCTTTGCAACCTGCACCTCAAGCTGGTTCTTGGTTCCAAGCATATTTTGTGCAACTTCTCACTAACGCGAACCCGTCATTCCTATAAGTCTATTTGCATTGGCACATTCCAAAACGAATCAATACAAATGATTGAGTCTTCCGTTTGATGGATCTGTATATACTTGAAGCACTGGTAGCAGTTAGTTAGATCGGAAAATAAGAAATGGATGGCGTCTCTTCCCAAGTCATATCGTGAATGTTTTAGGTACTTTAAATTCTTAATCCACTTATAGATTTCTGCTTTTTCCAATTGCGCACCAATTGTATCGCTGTGAAATGCCAAAAATACTATACTAAATGCGGCTTCTGTGATAAGAGAAACTTCAAGTCTATGGCCCATGTATAAACAGCAATATCAACCGTGAGTACTAAAGTCAGCCATAACTGATTGAACTATAAGATAAGTACCTCGTCGCCTCCCTGTTTACCGCATTCTGAATTTCTCCATGACATATATATACTCGCAGCAAAAGTACCAAACTTGCCAACCATTACTAAACCTAAACCTGAGATAACCAATCTCGCGATGTCGATAATTGTGCTCTTTGACATCGACGTAAGGTATAAAGATTTAGTCGCAATCACTATCATGATAACCTTGCAAAGAAGGCTCGCTCTTTTACTCATATCAGTAATAGAGCTGCTTGGACGCCTGGCACTGACAAGTGTACTGATGGCAACCTCCCTTGTTTGATCCGAACTCAAATTTTTGTATGGTTTTCCGAACATGGACAGTGAATTCTTCTCAAGGTAATATTGATACGGGCGGGTTGTCGAGTGGATTGAGTGCGCTATCAGGAGCCCAATTGGCGACGTGTTGTGTCGCATTAAGTGAAAAAATCGGTTGCGCATATGATGAGCGTTTTGAGCGCCCATTTCCAGCGTTATATTATCGCTATGAATCCGTCCAAGTATATCATCTATTGCATCCCCAACAGCTCGATGATATTCTTGCCGAACATTGTTGTCATGAATTACCCACTGGCTGAATATGAAGATGATTCCCTCACAGAAATTAAAACAAAGAAGGGATGGGAATTGAGGCATTTTGCGGACTGAGAATATTTTCATCTACAATTCGTCGACCACTAGATATAAGTAATATTCGGAGATTCGGTTCCTAGTTTTAGATTGATGATCTGAGATTCTCATATGATCTGACTGATGATACAAAATTTTCAAGCGACGTTAGCGTGAGGAAGTTACAGGGTAAGCGTGGCGGCCATCGCACTAATTATCCCCACTCATCAGAGATATTATCCTTAATAGAGATCTTATTCAAATATATGCTTAATTGGATGCTTGCCAATATAGACTGATGGCCAATAATACTTCACTTCTCTTTTGGGAGATCACAGCCCGCTTACATAATATAACCCTACATAGATTATGAATGACCTGATTATAACAATAACTCCAAGGCTTCGAGTATTGATTACCTCAAATATAAACTCTTTTTTCGTGATATATCTTTTCTGCTATTTAGACTCTGGTGAGGATAACAATTATCAATGCATCCATTGAATATTTTTTTCAGCTCATTCGATGGCCGCTGTGTCTATTCGCCGTTGCAATATATTGGAAACCAATTCTCATAGCATATGTGATCAGTAGAGCGCTTCCTATGCAAGCCACTTCGCGCTTTTTGCTTGTTCATTGCCGAAAGTAAAACAGTTGTAACCATCACCCAGCTCACTTGTAACTCCCGCAATCTCATTTTTGCAATTTTCGTCACTGTAAAATGAGACAGGCTGCTGAACGTTGTCGAATTGGCTGCCTCTATACTGAGCACTGGCAAATGCTGCAGCGGAGGTTGTGCAATCGCCTGGGTTCACAACCGTGGTCCCAACCACTATTCCACCAGCACATCTAGCGTTGGTATACGAGTCAAAGAGCACAGGATTCTGGGCAAAGGCAGCTGAGCAAGCTGAGAGAAAGTAGAATATCTATAAGGTTATATTAGACACTTAGGGTGCGCAAACGAAATATGGAAAACGAGAAACGTCAGAGCCATTACATACAACTCTTTGCATCTTGTCAAAGGTTTCTTGAAATGTGGTATAACAGAAGCAATATTGGTTTATTATGTTTGATACATCGATTGCGTAGTGGTCAGCTTGGTTTTCGATGGGGAGGATGGAGTTTATATGTTGTCTCCCAAGGGTACTATAAAATATAAGCTCCTATTATTAGACTTTGCCTAAGGACGAGAGGAATTACGGAATAAGTTCCTATCCGGTCAGCGTAGTATTGGCTAAAATGCCGGTGCATTCACTCCATAGTTCCTCCGCAAAACAAGTAACAATAAAGACAGATTATCATTCGACAGGCATTCGGAATAAAGCCGTAATGATTATGTAGCATCGTCAAAAATTAGTGGTGTGAAGTCTTTTTGCCGCCACCTGGGTAAGATACACTTTCCCAGAAAGGGATGGTGCGACATTCAACAAGCGAGTAATGGTACGTAGATATGTAACCAATGCTGGTCAACATTCGTGTTTCCCATCTTGACAGAAAGTACGAAGTAAGTAAAATAGTAAACGATGTGATATGCGAGAGTTAGGTAAAAATAAATACACTGACTAATGGATACCTTATACATTAACATAAAACGCGTGCCATACGAAACGTACCTACCTATTTTTAACATTTGACTGGAGCTTATGAAGTTTTAACAATTCTGCACAGATGCTACAATCCAGCCAATGAGTACAGCGGTCGATCCGCTATAAACAGCAGGTTCCGTTACGATAATTGCTGCAGTTGATATTAGTGGCATTATCCACTGCTGCTTGAATGAGCGATATGACAAACCATTACAATATACCCCGGACATATCTGCTGATAATAAAAAGACACGTAATACATAAGCATAGACGGAATAATTGAACACTAACACACATACAAAATGGTTTGAATAAAATATTTTACATTATCTATATACGCCCTCCTCTGGTACTTGGCTGCTCTAAATGAAAATTCTGAGCAACTCAACAAGAGCCAAGATAGCCATCGCCTGGCCATATGGCATAGGTGTAATAGGAATTTTCTTGTAAAACTCCAAGTCTGATCCCATACCTGTACCAAATGATGTGTTCAGCAACTGACCATTCGTATCTATATTATCCAAAACACCCCGAATTGCTTTGAAGGCAGTATCTCTGTATTCCTTCTCCAGATAGTGCTTGCGTTGTGCCTTCAGCAAGCCAAATGCAAAGCCTGCTGTTGCACTGGATTCTACATATGATCCATCTTCTTCTGGAACATCCAATAAAGTGCGCCAAAGGCCACCGGGTGCCTGAAAAGCTTTCAATGCTTCGCATTGAGCAGCGAGCGTAGATTTTAGATGAATGCAAAACGGATCATCGGAAGGCAGATCTAACAATTCAATGATCTCCGGTATCACAATGGTGAGCCAGCTATTACCACGTGCCCATCTAGCTGAGGCAAAATTGTGACCACCATCATTAAACGACCACCCGTGAAAGAAGAGGCCTGTTTTAGCATCAAACAGATACTGAATATGCAGCAAAAACTGTTTTTTTGCTTCTTTGACATAGTGAGGACGATCTAGCACAAGTCCAATCTTGGCCAGCGGCAACACAGTCATCATCAAGGTATCATCCCACAACTGCTGGTCATTCTCCTCCAAGTATGTAATGTGCTGCATGCCTCCATATTTTGTTCGCTCCAAGTCATGATATGCCCACTCCGCCCAGCTGTCGAGCCAGAGGAGATAGGTAGGATTGTTTGTTTTCTCATACACGTAGGCCAAGGTGAGCATAGCTGCCATGGTGTTGATGTTTTTCGTTGTGCCGCCGGAAGCGAATCGGTTTTGGAACCAATCTTCTATGATCTGCAGATACTTGGGATCACCCGTCGTCTGGTAGTAATGCCATATTCCGTAGAGTCCGACGCCGTGCGTCCACTCCCAGTCGTTCCACCCCTTTGTGTCTATTACTCGGCCATCTGCAAGAGTCATAAGAAATTCCCCTGTCTCATCCTTTATGTTGACGAGCCCATGAATGAGGAGTTGAATTTTGGAGTGTATCTCCTTCGCGTCGAATCCGTGAGCGGTGAGCGGCATTCTGGTCGGCTGCAGGCATTGGCTAGAAAAATTGGAGAATGCAAAAATTGGAAATAGTCAAAAGAGAGCCTATAGTCTAATATTTATGACGGGCAGAAGCTGCCTGCGAGCCGTCAATGTGAATTGCCGCCAGACCATGACATTCAGTTAGAGTTTTGTTCGGAAGAGATCGTCCGTCGGTGAATCCTAGTTTTTCGGAATTACCAGCTTCGGCTCGGCTCATTTCGAAGCGAGCAACTGCCCCAAATGCTGGGGTTTCTACATAGTCTTTCCCTAGTAAGAGATGCCCCGCAACGCCACAGGGGAGGCATTTACCAGCCGCGAGGGATGTACGTGGCCACCTCACGTTAATTGGTGGATTATGCTAAACGCCACCGCTTTGTTACTCGGTGCAAATTGAAGCGAGAGTAAACGGGAACTCTCATCAGTTCGTTCCCAAAGTTCGTTCCCACAGCAGAGTTTGGGGAAAGTGGCTAGTTTTGGCGTGACCCCAGATTTCATTTCGCGTTTGCGGGGAGAAGCTCTTGGCATCTGTCGGTATGCAGGAATGCTAGGTTGTTGGAATACAATAAAATAGCGGCTTCCGCCTCATCTTCGCTCAACATTTAACTCACAAGGGGCTATAACCTCGACCGAATCGCATCATAGTCGATAAGGGAGTGGCGATAGCCGAGTCTTCATCTTAAAATGGCGCCACCAAAGTCCAGCCCGAGCATTAATGAAATAGAGAACAATGTCGAGGCGGTCTTGTCCAACGATATTGAGAAGGACCATACAGATTACGGAAGAGTTGACAAAGAACTCGCTCAATACATTACAGATGTTAGAATTACCATCAGCCCGGAGAAGAATGATGAACTACGCCGCAAAATCGATCGGCGTATTCTAGCTGTCATGATATCGACGTATTTCCTGCAAGCTATTGACAAAGGCACTATGTCATTTGCTTCAATCATGGGTATTAAGACTGATACTCATTTGACTGGGCAAGACGTAAGTTAAATCCAGGGACCGGCATAAGAGTCGACCATCTACTAAAGCAGTTTGGAAATGCAGTATAACTGGCTGACGACTTGCGTTTTCATCACGATCCTCATTGTTGAATACCCTCAAAACTACATCATTGCGAGAGTCCCAATTGCGAAATACCTTGGCTTCAATATCATAGCTTGGGGTAGTGTTTTAGCCTGCACTGCTGCCTGTACCAACTTTACGGGACTCGTTGTGGTTCGAACTCTTCTGGGCCTCTTTGAGTCAGTGTGTCAGCCAACATTCGTTGTTTTGTCCGCAATGTGGTATAGGCGAGAAGAACAAGCTGCTCGTGTGACTTATTGGTAGGCTTTGAGAGTTTGATATATATGTAAGAGAGAATTGACTAATCGCTATAACTTCAGGTATATGATGAACGGTGCTCAGCAAATTGTTGGCGGCCTTCTAGCATACTGTTTCAGTCTTATTCAGACGGGACCCCTAAAATCGTGGAAGTGGCTGTTCCTCATTTACGGAGCGATCTCGGTTTGCTTCGGCGTCTTTGTCGCGTGGTATATGCCTGATTCTCCTATGAGGGCCAAGTGTTTTAGCGAAGAAGATAAACGGCTGATGATTGAGAGAGTTCGTGACAACCAAACAGGCATCCAAAATCGTGAATGGAAGAAAAGTCAATTCATCGAAGCTTTAACCGACCCCCAGATTTGGGGTTATTGCCTGATCCAGCTCTGCACAACGCTGCCAACCTCCGGGCTTGGTGCATTCCAGGGTATCATCATTTCAAGCATGGGCTTTACACTTCTTCAGACTCAACTACTAGCGATGGTCCTTGGATTCTATATCATTATTGTATTGTTGGGCTCGACATGGCTGGTTAAGCGGACCAACCAAAATCTCTATATTATGACTGCATTTATCATCCCGTGAGTATTGCATGGCGTTTTATAATTTTTGACTACATAAATACCTAACCTTCTCCTGAATCAGCTCTTTCATTGGCACCATTTGTCTTATGACTGTTCCACTCGTTACAAGGAGCCAAAAAATTGGGCTTGTGGTCTGTTACAATATAACCATGTCGTTTTGGGCGGCTCAAACACTGGCACTGTCTCTGTTGTCCCGAAATGTGGCTGGACAAACTAAAAAGAGTGCAGCTGTAGCCCTCAATTTTATTTTCTGGGCAACCGGAAACGCAATCGGTGAGTCCATATTACATATCAACGTTCAGTAGCGTGGGAATTCCTAATGCTACAAAGGTCCCCAAGTCTTTCTCTTCTGGGATGCACCCCGATATTTCATCGCCTTTGCCACCCACCTAGGGTGCTACAGCTTGCTTGTCATCGTTCTTCTGAGTTTGCGTTTCTATCTCTCATGGGAAAATAAAAGGAGAGATAACTTGGCAGCTGCGGGCGTGCGTGAAGCTCGCGATGACCGAATGGTGCACGCATGGGAAGATTTAACAGATAAGGAGAATCCCAACTTCCGCTATGTTTTTTAGTTGCTATATTCAAAACACGAAATTCTGCGCAAAGATGAAATGTTTCGATAAATATTTATATATATATTCAATAGCTATGCTATCAAAATGTTTATGCTATTCAAAAAGATATGAAAAGGTGTGGATCTAGAGGTTTCAACGCTGTTATTGGAAATGAGATTCAGCATCTGGAAATTCACTTCATCGGATCCAATAAGCATCACCAATCAGAACACAGCCTCTTCACACAGCTTTCTTGTACTTCAGTCTACCACGCACCCGGCATCCTCTCAAGTTTGTAAGGAATCCGGTGGAATAAACATATTCCGGCTGTGATGTTTGTGATATCATTTGTTTTGACTTCTGTATAGCCTTGACTCTACCCTCATATTTCTCGGGCAACCTATTTTCGTTCTTACAATTTGAGCCGTATATGCTCAGGAAACCGGCCACTAAGGCGTTGTTGTTAGCGTAGTCTTGATACATGCAGTCGCCCAGACTATCAGCAATGCATGTGCAGCCAGAAGCAGCGTAAATGAGATCTTTGAAGAGCGTCATGGCGGTAACGCGTGTTGTAATGAAATCCAAGTCTACCACCTATTTCTTTTTCAAATGCTTAGATGCTTTCTCATACAGGGATACGACATGGCCGTATTGCGAAGAAGGGGTTATCTTGGCTTTCAAATTTGGACGAGAGGAAGGAGGGAGTGATAGACATTTCGAGAGCAGACGAGAGATGTTCAATATTTCTCCCAACAGAGAATTATTTTATCGAAGTTTACGGTTTTATTGATCTAGAGCAGCTTTGAGACTTCTATTATGCTCGTATGGCGTAAAGACTACATTGTGACGGAGGATGCATGCCCCTTCGCTCAAAAATCAGTATTTGGTGCTCGTTGTCAACTATATCTTGGTTGCAAAGGAGACAGTTGCCATTTTTCTGCTGTATGAATTCGTCATTGCTAAGACATTCACGATCGGAACAAGAACACTGCTTATTCGTCCGTATGCTGTTGAGATCGTAGGTCGCCAACCAATAAATGGCGGCCTCGTATTTAACTAGGTTTCGCCTACAATTGTATTTAATTCCTATTGCTAACACCATTCTGTGATAGCGGTATCGAATACGAATGTCGTTCGCCGGCCCCAGACCTTCTATAGGTGAAATCTCGTCAATGGGGTTCGATACAATAACCCTCTTATTTTGTTCCTTCATGTGCTTTTGCAGAGAAAGAAATTCGACGCAGAAAGCCCGTAGATATAGAATGATGAGAGGTAGTACTACATGGAATTATGAGTGACTTTAGAATCATTATTTCTCGACTCAGTACAGCAGGTAGTTATAGGTAATTGTTTCTGTTAGGTTCACTGCAAGAAATGTTATAATTACCCAATGTATTGCTTACACAATAGGCCGATTATGGTGACTGTACAAGCCGGGTTGTGATAGGTTCACTTCCTAAACGGCATCGGGTTGGTGGAATTTGGAGGTAACCCTTCAATCACATCCCAGTGTTCTACCATACAAGAACCCTCAAAGCGGTATATATCAGCAACGCCAGTAATAGGCAACCCAGTACCCGCCTTCCCACGAAAGCGGTTAAAAACTACCCCGTACCCCCTCTCTACATCAATAATCACTAGCTCGAATTCAGGGCCATCATAGTTTGCAAGAATAGAAGTAACAACTTCTACTTGAGCTTGGCTACCGTTGGCAATTTGTGGGTTGTGCTGAATCAAATTTGATGAGACAAATTTTTTCATAGCGCCTTGGAAATCGCGCTTGAAGTAGAACTGATCGACGAAGGTGTTGAAGATAGAACGCATCTGAGACCCAGTGATGGGGCGACTGGGGTCACAGAAGGTAGTGGAAGTATCGGGTATACAGCTTGGAGCAGCTAGGATGCCATGAAAGAGGGCAAAAGGGGCAGCAAAGACGATAAGGGCGAATTGGGATCGCATTTTGCAAGTTGTCTTTTTCTTTTGGTATTTTTTCTTTTCTTTCGAAATAGGCTTCTGGGCGTGTAATGATGGGAAATCTTGTAGATCAAGAGCTCAATAATGGGATGATGGGAACCGGTTTGAAATAGATCTGAGTTCCTCTCGGCGAATGAAAAGATTATTGACTAGCGTAGATACTAACTGGAGACTTCGCTCTAGGAGTCTCATTTATATAGATTAACCCAGGTATAGTTGATCTACTGAGTTCTACAGTAGGCTTCCATCAGCAGGATGATTTTCATGACAATGTAGACGTCAGCAACTAGGCAATGATTCACATTACGTCTATCCTGGCATATGCTTCTATAATGGTGGATCTCCTATTGGTAATGTTTAATAATTGACCCTGTGCTCTGACATGTCATTCGAAATAGTATAAGGTATTGTAAGAACTAGGCATTTCCTGTAATTTTGAGCTAGTTTCCTGATTAAAATATCTGGTGTTAGCAATTAGACGATCATTGATCTCTCTGACTCAGCTACCGCGCGGGAGTATCATTACAGGACTTAGGCTTAACACCGTTCTCCATTTTCGATATCCTTTGCACCTATTGAGTTATCAACGACACGGCTTTAAAGAACTTAGAAAAACTAAGAAATATACTTTTGATAAGGATTATTCAGCCAAGCTCATCCTCCAAGCGGTATGGAAGGCCTCTGACTATTAATTCCCCGGATCTTGTTTGAAGCTGAACTTGAGATTCTATGCTCCACGAGTTCTGTATATTGGCAAAGGAAGAGGCTTTTCCGGATTACTACCTATTATACTGCGCTGTGTGATTCCTACAAGTCTTCTTTCTAAAACTCTGCCTCGCGCCTGTCTGGCATTCCAGATTTTCATTGTCACAGACAAAGCTGTTCAACAACTGAATCGCGCGCTGACAGGCAATGTCAACCTCTTTGAACTATGTGAGGGAGGAGAACATAAATCAGATGCACAAGACACAATGCATCAGCGCCAAAGGTACGAGCGGCGCGTTGCTCGGAATGATCCCCCCCCCCCCCCCCCCCCCCAAAAAAAAAAAAAAAAAAGATTTCCTTGAACATATATAATCCCGAATATAGCAATATGGCTGTATTGTTATATTAGACGACTTTGTTACGGTCGCTCCTACTTACCCTCAGTTTTAACTATAGCTCTGAAAAGTGGCTGGATTGTATGGATGTCTCAAACAGCTACTAATACATGAACCAAGCAGCACTGCATTTTCCACGTGATATTGCGAAATCTGCCAGTTTGGCCAAATATCGGGTAAAGATTAGTATCATAATCGAGTCGCTATTCGTTAGCCACTGTCAAACTACAATTTGGCTTTCACTCCGTGTTTAAAACTCAAGGGCCTGGGTGTGGTTTCGGCGTATCAATGAACAGAACTATACATGGTTCTGCTTTCAATATATCCTGAACCACCACAAAATCCATCATGCTTAGTGCTCAAATGTTAGGGGTGAGAGTGACTCATCGCTCTGCATTGGACCTCCACTTTACCGTCCACCAGGCTGCCACTCCGTTTACAGTTTCCCTACAGGCGTATCTTGCCGCTCATCCAGACTCAAGATACAGCTACATTGCGACTGGAACGCTTGTATTTGACATCAGCAATCAACCATATCTTCGACTGCTTCTACTCCAGCGGTCTGCCAACGACAGCATGCCCAACAAATGGGGGGTTCCGGGGTGCGGCTGTGATGACGATGACGAGAGCATCCTACACGCTGCAGCGCGCGAGCTATGGGAGGAAACCGGTCTCAAAGCGATCCACCTGGGAGCTCCCGTTGGAGAACCTCATTTCTTCTCTAGCGAATCTAGGAAAAGAATATGCAAATTTGTGTTCCCTATGCAGGTCGAGACCAATAACGAAGGCCACATGACTGTAACTTTGGACCCAAGGGAGCATCAATGCTTTGCATGGGCTAGTGAGGAAGAAGTCAAGGCGAAGAGGATAGAAGATATAGAGCTAGATTTTACTACGAAAGACTTAGTGTGTACAGTACTGGAAGCATTTAGTCAATTCAAGAAGATCGAAAACTCGGGCGACTACGTGGTAATAGAACTAGCGTAGGTCATCTGATCGGAATATTGAACAAACATATATAGTCACCGTAGCCCTTTTACGAAATCTCAAACTCCTTCTCGGAGAGTTTTCCACGGGCCATGATGCCCAGAGCCTCTCCTTCCATCAACCCATGGGTATAACATTCGCCAACAAGCAGATACCGGTTTCCAATTGATCGTAGACAGAATAGCAGCCTTCCACCAAACAAGACGCAAACAACATCGCCCTTCTCTATGACCACCGGCCCGAGAACATAATATACGCTGCTCGTTCTCGCAAAGATGCGATTCTTCGACGCCCCATTGGCCGAACGACTCCACTCCTCCCTCTCGTGTTTGCGTTCGGCCTCAGCTGCGATTGCCTTTATCTCTGATGATACGGTGCTTGAATTGCCAAGTGCTCTTACGAGGTACATTGCTACCTACTCAAGCCACCTAGGGTTGGGATCTCGTTGTATGGGGTTCTTTCTCAACAAGCAATCTGCACGCAGCTATTGCTGAGGTTTTGCATGAAAGCAAATAACGCCTTTTCGTAGCCATTGTAGTATTTATCATCCGAATTGAAGCTCCTGTTTTGGCAAAGCCCGTTCCAAAGAGACTCTATCATCTTGCGTTTGCCGTGGAATTCTCTATTCTTCAACGGCAGGGAGCACACTTCAATCGTGTCGACCTCCACGCCGTGAATTTGGAGTCGGTTAGAGTCCTCGTCGAGCTTGAGCTTTGGAGCTGAGAAACCATGAGCTCGATGCGGATTTATAGGCTCTGAAAGAAGAAATCCTTGATAGGTCCTCCAATATAGCACCCAAGACGGTAGTCCACTGTTATGACACCCTGCCAGGTCATCACGGGATGATAGACTCCTAGCAAGATGTTGCACGGCAGCCAACGCTACCAAGGCTGAATCTCCTTGACTTCCCTTCAGTGATCGTTTAGACATGTCAATGTAAACTTTCTCAACGGAAATCTTATAATTGGGGGTGATGGATGCAAGCTCGTGGTTGGGGATGTGGGCAGACGTAAGAGAGTAGTATCAGCCTCCCGATTTGTGCTTACCCATTTACGACTGGTCAGATTATGCAAGGTCTTTTTGTTATTTTCTACTTCTCGTTCCAGGCCATTTATGAATCGGGCATAAGACGCACTACCGATGTTCTCAAATGTATCGTGTAGAATGCGTATCAAGGAGAACGCGGATTTGGCTTCATTCTCATCTGGGTCAAGCCAAACCAGGACATGAGTTACGTCTTTGTAATCCTGTTCCTAAACTGCACCTGCTGGCTTTTTTCAACTAAATTCTTTTGATTAATACGCACTTGATTGGCCCAGACACGGCGCGCGGTCGATCCGGAAGACGGAGGCGCCGCAGCGCCGCGAATATATTTCCTCCTATCAGCTCCAGAAGCGGCTCATCGGTATGACTCTTGATAGAAATGTTGCATTTGCAATTTGGGGGCCCGAGCTCAGCCCAGATGTACGATGTTACCTCGTACTTTCCTGTTTCATCAATCTTTACGGCCCCCAGCGTTCCTCTCAGGGGCTCAAATGGTTGCCCAGCGGCCGGAGTAAGTATTCGAGTAGACACACTATCTTGGGAGGGATAGTATTTGTAGATCAATTTATTTGCGGAGACAGTGGCGGTGCTCAGCTGGGGAATGTAATCGCCTGAGGCTTCAGATAACCTGTCCGGACCTCGCGTTGCGGATATTTAGAACACACCTCAATTAAAAGATCAAGCTTAGCACGTATTGTGGAAACTAGACAAGTTTGCCACAAGTGTTGCAACTTTTATGTAAATACAGGCCCCGCTCTCTCACAGATGAAATATGGGACTATATCATGCGTAGGAAAATATTTACAGTCAACCCGGTACTGAAGCAGTTGTTAAGCGGGATACATGTACCCTGTCATCCTTGCCATTTCGATAGTAATACCCAGAAAACCTAGATAAGGCAGGAACTTTTTCTTGAACCTTTACAAAATACCTCATGCAGCACACGCCGGTTGCGACTCCTAAGAGGCAGTAGCCAATGCCTTGAGGTGGATGCAGTTCAACCAAAATAAGGCAGCAATTTTAGGCTACAGTTCACCTTCGTCAGGCGGCGCAATATTGCCTCAGCTTTCAGCCGCACGGGAGCCTTTGGATGCACTAACGATTATCTCGTCAGGAGAACATTCACATGGAGGTTTGTACCACAAAGAATTGCGCACACAGATTATAATCACTGGGTCAGCAGGTGTAGCAAAAAAAAAAAAAAAAAAGAAGAAGAAGAAGAAGAATAAGAAGAATAAGAAGAAGAAGAGGAAGGAAGGAAGGAAGAAGAAAAAGAAAAAGAATTAAAAAAAAAAAAATGCTTAGTCGACTTAGGAGCGATGCGATTAGGCAGAAGTGCCTTAGGCCAACAAAACATAATCTACTTTTCATACTAGGGGAAGCTTCAAATTAATAGCTAAAAAAATAACTTCTGGGCTGGATCGGCTTATTTCAAAACATGTTCATTCCATTTCTCAAATGAATGATGGCTCAACCCGCTCCCCCACATGAACGCTTTGCATCGCTGCCAAAGTTTTCTTTCGATATCCATGATAGCCTTCGCGAATGGAGTGTATCGGTCCAGCAATGGCTCACTACAAACAAAATGAAACTTGAAGAACGCCAGATCAACTTAGATAAGTTGGCAACGGGCTGTATCGTATTTAATCCTGAAGGCAAGGTGCTCCTCATACAGCGCGCCAGCCACGATTCTTTGCCGAACAGATGGGAGATACCCGGCGGCGCTGTTGAAAACGATGACTCCACCATTTTGTACGGTGCTGCCCGGGAAATGTGGGAGGAGTCGGGGCTTGTTGCAAAGCGTTTCGTTCGGCTTGTTACAGAGGGACCAGGGGGAAGGGATCTACAAGTGTTCCCAAACAGTACGAAAACACTATGGCTTTGTCGGTTTTCATTCGATATCGAGGTCCAAAGTACCAGTCATGTTAAGTTGGATCCGGCTGAGCACCAGGATTTTGTGTGGGCTTCGGAGGATGAAATCAGGGTGCAGAAAATTGGCGACCGAGATATATCGATTACAAACAACGCTATGCGGTCTGTTATACTGGAATCGTTCCGGCTGAGAAATGAAGAACAGCTTGATGCCTACAAAGGACGTCCATAGGTTGGAGCAAAGTTAGCTATGTTAACTCCAATATAATTATAAGCGGTTTGTGATATTATGATGGGCAGCTTTAATGATAGAGTAGGGTGTCTTATCAGCAGTGGCCTAACTTAGTTGTGGCGGGGTAAATATTATTAAGTGAGCAACACAATATGTATGCTTGTTCAAGATAAATTGAAATAACCAGTTAATAACACGGTAATCAGATCAATTTTATTCAATACATCCTACTAGTTACACGACAAAAGAATTACCCGGCTGACCACCTTAGTCTACGGCTTATCCCCGAGAACAACGCACCTTTTAACTAGGTATCTAAATTAGAAAATAAATCACAAAAGTTAGTATTTAGAGATGTGCGACAATTACGTTACAATAACTTGGGAAAGTGTATATTTAAGATTGGAGCTATGCAATTTTAAGATCAGATATTTCCTTGTGAATATCCACTTACTGCATTTATAGCTGTGATCACTGGCCACAGTCACCTAAGACAACCACGAGTCCGCAGATCACATCCTTTCAGGGTAAGCAGGAGTAATATATTTCAACAGTCGAGGCCGTCCCGCCACAATGGTCCATTACACCAGGCAGAACATGGCTGAAAACAATAACAATCATTCTCACAACTGAGCTTACTTGAATATACCCCTGGACATATTATCCGACCGCTAGTTGTAGAGTTTTCCATCTGCTCCAGATATTATTGAGGTACGACTTATGCCAACTTCCCCAATGAGAATCAGGCTCCACAATTGTCTTTGAACGATGACATTAACATTGCTGCGGTTTTGACAATTCTAATGTTAAAACCTTCTTTGAAGCAACATGACAACACAAAAGGAAGGAATGTTCATATTCTCAGGCAGTAATGCATGACAACCCTACTAGCTAGGTCTAGTGGCCTGGTGTTACCGCGATGAATACAAATTAAATTTCGCGCTTCTGCCTTTTATTATACCGCAAATATTCGCTCTCATCCCCGTTATCTCTGTTACCTTCGTGGGTTTTATCATCGGTTTCTTCTTCGTCTCTATCTTCATCGCTCTCCTCATCGTCATTTAGCTCTGATTTAATTTCGTCATCCAGCTCCGATTCGACATCCAACCCTTTTTTTGACTTGCTTGGGTCTGCCTGATGTCTGCCCGACCGACAACCCTGTGACTCTCCACTTAAATTGCAGCAAGTCCATTCAAATCCCTCCGGAAACTGCTCGCGCATCTCATCAGTATCAATAGTTCCATGACATTTCTCGTCATGGTCGGCCCAAAAATCCCCATCATAGTCGACTTCTAGCTCGCCTGTAAGATGTCAATTACTAGATAGGTGTTCTGGGATATGTATATGCATGCTGGATCGCGAATTGGCGGGATCAAAAACCGACGGCGTGGACATACCACTATGGTAAAAGCAATTGATAGAGGTACTGCTTGGGTCGAATGCCGAGTCACATTGCACGCATATTGCCGTGAGGCTAGTATGCGCTCTCATCTCCTTTGCAAAATTGCTCACTTTGCCTGCGACTGAAGGATTATTAGACAGGTAGAGGAGAATTGCACGTGCTTGCTCAGCAGTGAGGCTATTGATTAATTCCATGTTGTCGGCCATAGTGATTTCGGTGCAGTACTTTGCTTTAGAAATAGCTAAACCAAGACGTGTTCAAGTGCAAGCGAGTCAGTTGATAAATACCTAGGTAGTAGGTGTGTAAGCCCTGCTGTCTGGGTGATTGACATTACGTAAGATGCCTGGAGTAGTGCGCTAACGCAAAAGTGGCAGAATCAAGGCTCTCAGTACTCCGTACTCAGCGGTCAGTTGTGACCACACTCAGTGTCTTGCAGTTAAGCTAAGGTGCGGATATATTATTATCATGACCATATAGGACAACAGCTAACTAAATATATCACTATATATCGCTAAAAGTTCAATCGTGATACATTGAAAATTTGCAGTTGCTATATCACAATGCTCTCAGAATTACTCTTTCCCTACCTTACTGGGATAGCGACTCCAACAATACCAAGAGATAAATCGGGGTTGATGATATCAAGGATTTGGTGTTTGCAGCCGCCCCTGAAGATGTTGGATATTCTTATTTACCTTAATGGAGAAATTGTCAAGAGAGTCCTCAGACATGCAGGGAGCAAGACTTTATTTTGCCCTAATTGCTATGCCCAGTGGAAAACTCGTCGTGATGTTCAGTCAAGCACTAAAGACGCAAAGCGCAACCACATATCAGCCACCACTAACACCCCTACCCTGGTATTTTCAGTTCATCTAACGCGCGTTCTCTCCCATGGAAAGCCCATCAATGCCAAATATAGATGCACATCTTCTACATGATCAGACTGGAAGAGGTGTGTCTGATGATCCGAACGATATTGACAAGATGTTGCTGGTCCATGGTCTCTCTATACCTGACACACAAGCGGCGAAGTCACATGAACTTACCAGTCCCGCCTTTCAGCCTCACCAAAGCACTAATTAGCTCCAGTCATCAAGACCAATTTGGACATTATCTCACGATAACGCCATGGCTGTAGCGTTACTTCCCTCGCAGCAAACTTTACGTGGTCCAAGATGGTGTACATCCCCTGCATCATAGCCGACTACAATGGTGGCGACATGATTCTCAGGTCCAGACCTCAAGGTGACTCCGACATTGATCATTTTTCCTCACGAATCCAAGCTCCCAGATACTTGCATAGTTGGTACGACAAGTTAGAGTTGGAACTCCACAGGAAGAGCCGCCTGCCGAGAAATCAGTCTTCTATTCTAATGTTTCTCTCACCATCAAATCAATAGCCATGGGTTTCCTATTCGGACTACATGTATGACGGTGTGTTGAGTTTGTTGCCGCTGCCAAAGGAGATCACCTGCGGCTCCTGGTGGAGGAAATTAGTTGAATCCTCACAGTGCTATCAATGATCTGCCTCTGGCAGTTGGCGTAACAGGTGACAACCGACTCTACTAGTCGCTGGATATATACAGCCAGAACAGCGAGGGCAACATCAAATAGATGAGGTATGATACGCCGAACATAAAAGGAGTGGCCAGCTAGACGATTATCTAGTTCTATGAGAAATAGACTCTGTTCAGTGGTAGTCTGCTTACCAAAAGCAATCGCCTTAGTTGAACGGTAGTTGGGAGAGATAGAGACAAAAATAGGCATGTTTATATTAGAATAACGGATTCGCAGACTGCATAATTGCGCTGTCAATATTTCTCGAGCTCTACAGTGACATAAATGATATACTTTACTCTTCGTCGACGCAGTATGAATATTTATTACAGCACCCCATCCAGAAGCAATTCCATTTACTACCACTCTAGCAAACATGTGCGTAAGGTTCCTATTTCTACTGCCAGAAGTGGAGAGGAGTCTCGCAGACAAAAGAACACTTCGTGTATTGGCAATGATAACTGTAGGAATGGCCTGAGGGATGAATTGCTCACATTGTTGGCAAAAAGTTTCTTGGCGATAATTGAAGTCAAGAATATCCAACAAAGCCTCTTGGTACGCTTCCAGTCCGGAAATGGTATGGAGTGAGCTAAACTTGTGCCATACCTGTAATCACCTCCCTTTGGCAGCGTTATCAATTCCGTCTCGGACGGCGGCATCGAAGCTTCACGGATATATCGTTTCGCAGAAAACGAGCACGATGGTGATACTCAGCTTTACCATTCAGGGCGTCGCCATTAATATCATAGCCTGTTAGACTAACTATCAAGCACAATAAGCTCACAAAGAAAGTTATCAGTTGACTGGATAAATTTATAAGCAGATTGGTCTATTAAGTCTTGAAGTATACATACCCTACATACATATATATATATATATATAATTGGAAGTATAACTATAAGCGATTTGACATATTCAGATGAACGGCTTTAATGATAGAGTAAGGTGCCAATCCAGACTCGCCTAACTCAGATCCAATGCCGCTTTGTTTTACGCCACCAAAAGGGACTTGATCATCACAGTCTTGACTCGAGTTAATCCAAACCATACCTGCTTCAAGTTTCCTTGCAACCCGATGAGCCAATGTTAGGTTTTCAGTAAAGACAGCCGCCCCGAGTCCATATTCTGTATCATTGGCCATCCTTAAGGCCTCATCCTCCGTTCTAAACTTAACGACGACTGCAACAGGGCCGAAAATTTCTTCTCGGTATATTCTCATTGAAGAGGTCACGCTTGTAAAAACTGTAGGGGCAATAAAGAACCCTTTGCCGTGACCAGCAGTTTTTACTGCAGTTCCTCCTGTTAAGATGGTGGCTCCTTCGTTTATACCAACCTCAATGTATGACAGTATACGGTTGTACTGTGCCTTTGATACTTGAGGCCCCTGGAAAGTCCCTCCAGAAAATGGATCTCCCACTTGCATTGACTCAACTCGTGCTTTGAATGCCGCAAGGAACTCATCATATATCCCTTCTTGAACGAGGATGCGGGACGTTGCTGTACAGATCTGACCGTTATTCCACATGACACCGCCGTGCGCCCACTTCACCACTTGATCTAGTTCCGCGTCATTAAAAACCAACAGTGGGCTTTTACCGCCAGTCTCTAGGGTTATATTTTTCATGTTGAGGCTGGCATATTTCATAATTTCTTTGCCAGTAGCAGTACTTCCAGTGAATGCGATTTTATCAACGCCCATGTGCTTCGCAAGAGCAGCCCCGGCGACTTTGCCGTGCCCGTTAATAATATTGATTACACCTGGTGGAAATCCAGCTTGCTTCACCAGACTTGCGAAGTACAAGATAGACAGCGGAGTTTGTTCAGCCGCCTTCAAAATCACTGTATTTCCACAAGCTAGGGCAGGGCCTAGTTTCCACCCAGCCATCTGAAGTGGATAGTTCCATCTAATGAGATCAGTAACGTCGCGACTCAAAGGTGGCAATAGAGAGACCTTAGAAATGTGGATTTCAGACCTTACTTACGGAATTATTTGGCCACAGACGCCAATTGGCTCTCGAATAGTATATGCAAATTTTGCCGGGCCAGTTCCCAGGACAGATCCTTGAATTTTATCCGCATATCCAGCATAATATCTGATTACTGCCGCAGTGGCCGGGACATCTTCGCTGATAGAAACACTATACGGCTTACCATTGTTCCATGTTTCAATGGTGGCAAGGGTTTGCAGGTTTTCTTCAATCAGCCGACTTAATTTAAGCATTAAATTTCCCCTTTCAGTGGGCGAAAGTTCGCTCCAACTGGGATCTTTAAATGCTCTTTGTGCAGCCTGTACTGCTATATCAACATCATCTTCAGATGCACTGTAAACGGAGGCAATCATTAACTCGTCGCTATATATTATTAGTATTTTACGTGGGCAAAGAGGTGATATGGTAATGCAAAGGACGAACGCTGGATTATAGACGTCAAGGGTTTCGTTGTTTGAAGACTTGACGAACTCATTGTTAATGAACAAGCCAAGAGGTTGAATATATTTAAGGCCATTTGGGGCCGTGAGCTCTTTGAATAGATCTGACATCTTTGAATTATCGAAATTTAGTATTGTATTGCAAGTATTTGAGAAGGAGAATGCCACTACTTATATCTGCGTCTTATATACACCTCTTTCATGAGACAAAGTAAACTGGAGCTACTGCGCTAATATCGCGATGCATTGCCAAAATTGTATTAGCATCGTAGCAGAATGCAACTATAACTGCCTGCGAAGTGGAGTTACATACTTCTAGTCTACCTTTTACAACTATTATTATAGTCCTAAACTTCCAAACAAATGAGAAACGTATATTTTTCTACAGCTGGTGGGACTGTCGGGGTAATGAACTTAGAGCTTACGCAATTATTGAAGACACTAGCAATCCTAGATTTGGGAATCCGCGATTTCCGAATTCCCATTGTTTGCTCCTAGAGCGATATCGGATCTAATACTCGGCGTCTCTGGCACATGCGGCGCGCAAGTCACCAAAATTACCCATAACGGCCCATTATGCCGTTAGGCCAACAGGGTAAAGGATTAGGCTAATAATTGTATTTGCAGTGAGAATTATATCGGAATAAGCTGTTTATAAGAGATCAACCCGATACGAAGGACCAGATTGTAAGATGAACACCAAGCCCAACCGCGGCCCCCAAACTTGATCAAATAAGTAAATACCATGTGAGCTCTAACAAGATTATAATTGATATAAATCTCAAGTATATGTGCAAGAGATAAACCAGTGTAACTACGCGTAGATTTAGCTTCCGAGCTATACAATACAATTAGGTGCTTCACTTTTCAGTGCGAGTTAGAGTGTAGGCTTAGAGTTAGCGGTTGGCTATTAAAAAAGGTAAATGCAAGTCAAACAAATGGGCATATATTCTTCTGATACGCCAATGGAGTTGGATGATGCTATTCTTCAACAAGAAGCTCGTTGTAGAAATAAGCTCTGACTGACAAAATGTCTTTAATACTTCTGCTTCCGCTGTATACTACAACAAAGCTCGGAGACCCTGAGATGATTGTATAACCGATGTTAGGCGGGCATTTAAATATCCTACCCTTTCTGTAGTAATAAGGTATTGCTCTGGGAACCATGAGCTAACATCCCTCTTTAGGATCATTTCTGCCGTTGCTCTACCACAGAGCCAGGCATTAACCATGCCGTAGCCGTTATAACCAGCGCTAATCCACTCAGCAGCAGAGTTGCTACCGCTGAGGCGATCGAGTGCTGCTTGTGGGAGCCTTCCAACAAGTGGAAGCCCATCAAGTGGTGTACACATGATGCCAGTCCACGAAGACTTTACTTCAAGCCCCCGGGGGTTATTTCCTGCTGAAGAGGGGGCTTTTTTAAGAATGGATGGCAAGATACCAACTAAGTGAGCCTTCGCTACAACATTCTCGTTCTCATCTGAAGACTCGCCTAGTTGAGAGAGATATGCATCTTCTCCAATGTCCCCTCCACCAAGAAACACGTCGCCCGTCCGCAAATTTTGACTCAGGTAGTCAAAACCGTTCTCAAAGTAGAAACTCCAAGATCTCCGGCCATCCAAGGCAGGATATTCCGGCCCAGGTGCCTGCACCGTCATCTGACCCCGCCGTGGAAAAACAAGACCTCGAAGTCGAGGAAGCAAGTGGCCTACATGGCCTTCGGTGCAGTGAACAACGTGCTTTGCCTTGATGTAGCCTCGTGGCGTGTTGATAAGGTAAGGATGTTCACTGGATTGAACCCTCGTTATCGATATGGCTGGTGTATTTTGTTCGACTGAGAAACGATCATGATGCCGTTCAAGTAGCGCACTGAATATTCCTAAGATGAGCCGATAAGGCCAAGCAGCACCTGCACGGCCGATGAGTGCACCGGCAGCACCAATGAGGCCATACTTCTTGGTTTAAGTTAGAAGATACTTGTATGTGAAAGCATATAACCTACCGTTGCGGCGTCTTCTGGCCCACATATCCTCCACTGGCCCTTTAAATCAGGGAATGCTGCATCAAATCGCTTAAGCATAGCATTTATGTCGTCCATCTTTGCCTGGTTCAATATTGCTGATACGGATTGCACCTCTCTAAGCTCAGAGTCCTCAAATATCGAGTTCCCGAACTCTCGAGCTATAGAAACTATACTTTCGTAGTGAGAAAGCGAGAACCGCACCATCTTGACTGCTGCATCATGGCCGTATTTTCGCGAGAGGCGATCGTAATCTTGCACGGCAACACATCTTATGTGTCCACCATTCCGCCCCGTGGCGCCGGAACAGATGCCTCGAGCATCGAGAACCGTGATTGAGATTCCGTCGTCTTCCTTTAATAGCCACTGCGCAACACTGCAACCTGTGATACCGGAGCCGAGGATGACTACATCTCTCGATTCTGGCAGGGTCTCTGATTGCGTACCTTCTAAATGTATACGAGAAGAAGATTGCCAGAAGGATGTGGTTGGGCTAGGAACCGGCAAACCGGGATCCGCCATCAGCCGTTGGAGTTTGTGGTCTATACAACATTAGCTCTACTATCGGTAACTGCATGGGATCTTTGACCAATCTTTGGACCTAGCATGATAAATCACGGAGTCTGTTCACAGAATTTGCCCATAGAGTTTGCACCTGAGATTCGACAGCGAGACTATTGAATATATTTGGAAGAGCTTACGGTCGATCATATAGCTATCGAAAATGTTCTTGCGTGTCTGAGTAAGGCCGCGATAAACAGGCGAACAAGTCATTGAAGTGGCCGCGATGATTTCCCTAGATCGGCCAAGTGTATGCTAATATGCGGGGGGAAACATGATTAGCCGATCTCGCAAAAGTGGCTGGATATCATCCCCTACAGTATCCAATAGATAAGCATAACCTAAAATTTATCGCCATGATTTACCTAAGTAAGACTAGCACCTCTGTGGATACCCTCTCCGCATTGCAAGGGGACTACAATAAAATCGTTCAAGAAAAGGAATAATGCAAAACTGGCATCCTAATCTCCATTAGTTGTAACAGAATGCGGGGAGATCGGTATACTAATCAAAAAGAACCTTGGAATCTTGCTCTCGGCAATGGCGGAAATTTCAGTAACGGCTAGAGCTGGTGGATACTGTGTCAATCACAACACTTGATATGTTATCAAACAGACTAAAACTCACCGATATCAATCGCCATAACATGCCTAAATTAGACTAATGCATCTGTGGATTCTTCCCCATACTGCGAGGCTGATAACGAACTTAAATCTGGGGGATAAGCACCAGTGAGTCCCATAAAAACCGTCCGAATATCTCTTAAAATACATACGCCGAACATGCGTGAATGTCTGCGACCAACTATCACTGCTACTGGTTCAAGGTCACGAAGACTCTCCTACATTTATTTTGGCACCTGTATCGGGAGTCATACGTCGCTGTTAATTCCCACACTCACAAATAACATTGACCATACGGCGTACCCGAAAAGATTCGACGGACGGTTTCACGATGGTGGCCGAGAAGAGGGATTCAATGACGATTAGTCAGAGCCATGATTCACCCAGCGATTTTACTTCAAAAGCTCTGTCTAACGATGAATATCAATTGGCACAGCTGGGATACAAACAAGGTTTCCTTTTTCTCATGATCATCCGCTATGTAACCTCTCTAACCTTTCAAAGAATTCTTCCGCACTTTGGGGCTTTTTGAAAACTGGGCAGCGACATTCACTGTTTGTTATCTGAGTATCTATCTTTGGCGGCGTGCATTCTGACAGAGAAGCAGACTATGAATTTCATCTCCGGTATTCCCATGATGTTTGCCTTTGTGATGTCCACTGGTGGACCTGAAGCGGCATTTGCAAACTGGACGATGGTTGGGGGCCTCTCGTTCGTTGTATCATTAGCAATGGCTGAGATTGCTTCCGCCCTTCCCGTCGCCGGTGGCATCTACTACTGGAGTTTTTACCTCGGTGGTAAGAAATGGGGACCGTTTTTAAGTTGGATGACCGCTGTAAGGTTCCATTCTCTTCCAAATTCCCACATACAGGGCTGACTTTATTTTTTCGTGAAGTGGTGGAATTGGGCAGGCTGGATAACCGTTCCTTGCGGTGTTCAACAAGGTGCAACTAACTTTCTCATATCTGCACTCGAAATACAATATCCAAACGCAGAAGTCTTGACCAAAGGATGGTTTTCTTGGATATTGACTTCTCTGGGAATTCTGATTGCGATGCTTCCAAATATTATTAGCCCGCGAGTTCTGTAGGTTCCACGTGTAACCTCACACTACCATGACAAACTAAATTTGTATATAGGCAACTCTACTTCCGGTTTGCCATTCTAATATTCTTCTCATTATTTTTTGCTTACTGGATATGGTTTCCAACAAAGGCAAGTCCTGAACATCTTCTTTCAATATTTTTTTTGCTAATATGGTGCATTTAGGCTAGCGGAAACTTCCAACCATCGTCGGGAGTATTTCAACATTTCTTTAATAATATCAATGAAGGCGACAGAAAGCAAGCTTCGGATGGGTACTGCTGGGTTATATCGACGCTTTTCGTAAGTTTTGTGGATAAAATTTGCAAATCCAACTGTTACTGAAATAGCCTTTGCGAAGGGAGCCTGGATTTTTTTTGGGTATGTTCTTACACGCCAACAACAATCATGGGTTTCCTAACATTACATTACAGCTATGATGCGTCTGCACATCTAGCAGAGGAAACAAAAGAGGCTTCCGAAGTCGTGGCAAAAGGAATGTGGATGGCAACACTATCTGGCTGGCTACTCTCTATTCCAACCTTGATCCTCATTCTCTTTTGCATACAAGATTTTGATGCCATAATCGCCGGTATGATTATGATACTTTTTCTCAATGATACCTACTAAATTTAAGCTTAGCAACGTACGCAAATAATTGGGCCGAATATCTTATGCAGCTTATCGGCCCTGCTGGTTCTACCGCCATCCTTGTCCTCTTGTGGGTTGACAGTACTTGCGCAACCGCATCGGCCTTCATGTCTGCACAGGTACCATCAATCTCCTATATTTGACTGTGACTTCAACTAATTCCTTTCAGCGCGTAACATATGCTATATCTCGCGACAATGTTCTTCCTTTCTCACGATACTTTCGGAAACTCACGACTACCCACCGCATGCCCCTCCACGCTGCCTTCCTTGTCGCCACCGTCTCCATTGCTATTTCCACCGCTGTTATTGGTTCATCTGTCGCATTCTCCGCTATCACGGCCATGTCCACCATAGCCACCAATGTCAGCTACCTCTTCCCTATTATAGCCCGCCAAACCGTTGGCGCTGGGGCTTTTGTACCAGCCAAATGGAACTTAGGTCGAGCTAGCCCAGTTGTTGCTACAATTTCAAGTGTTTGGATTTTCTACCTCCTTGTCGTTCTGTCGTTGCCGCAGGTGTATCCTGTTACTGGGGTGAGCTTTCTCTTCCTCTCGGTTTGTCTAGCGTTACTGACAAAATTTCGAAGACTACATTGAATTATGCTCCCGTGATGATTGGAGCTGTCACTTTAATATCCTTGGTAGGTTGGGTGTTTCCATTCGGACTTGGAGGTAAATATTGGTTTAAAGGCCCTCAGACGACTATTACGGATGAAGATGTATTAGAGGCCACGATACCAGAAATGAGCTAGGATTTGGCTCGAATTACACATAATGCACAACGATATGTTAATCTTTGTCTCAATAAATTCAACTTTGTTCATTATTTAATTGCAATCATTACACTATCGGAAGCTTAATGTGAACCGATGCTTATAACACCAGATGCTTTCTGGAAACCCTAACCGAGCATAGTCTCGCACCCCATGTCGCGAATAAGATCAATCCAGAAGATCTTTTCTCCCATATCCAGACGTCTATACATTTCCTTGATGACTTGCAACATTAGATCAACTGGCCGTGAATGAACCAATGTCCGGAGAGATGCCAGCCGGGAAATTGTGAATGCTCGTAAACCCATGACATGGTCATGATCCAAATCCAATACTGCTTCGCGAGATGATAAGGAAGTATGGAATTGGTTAGGCTCTGGAATAAATGAAGATGGTATTACCAGCGAACCGGCGGCGACAAATATTAAAATGGCCTGAACAGACCTAGTGCCAGATGTAATTGGAATCTGTTGCAAGCGGGTGAGGACGCCAAACCCGAGAGAGCTTAGAAACGTACTATTCGAAGTGGCATTCGGCAGTGAGTTATACCAGTCCGCTATCGGATTGTTCTTGGCACCTAGCTGAGGCCACACTGCAGATGATATGCATTCTCGACGTTGTCGTAGAATGCCGGGAAATTTGCGATATATTTGATATAAGCCACCAAAGAGGTATGCTTCCGCAAGAAGAATGTGATGATGTGGTGGAGTATTTGGATCTCCCGAGTCATCAATCTCCGCAATACCTGGTAATGCAACAGACCAGAGAGCTTCTTCTAGTTTCGTAGCGTCTTGACTGAGTCTCTGGTATCTAAGTGAGCCAGCATCAGAGTGACGATCAGTTCGTCTCAGTGACTGGATAACCTTTGTGACGCGGCTGAAGATAGCTTGGATAGGCGATGACACCCCAGTCCATGGGTGTGGAACTATGCGATGATTGCCGGGCTCTCTTATTACTCTGGCCGCAATATTGGGGTTTTCTTCCACCGTGACACCATCCATATCGGAACTGAACTCTACTTCGTCACTGACTAGACTTATAGCCATTTCCCAGTATATGAGAGCAGACTTGAAGAAGTTAGTCATTGACTGATTGTTTCCTCTTGCGGATATCGAATTTGACGAGATGGCTCGCTGGGCGGCATGAAAATGAGGGATGCCTATATCTTTTCCATCGTGCCAGGCGGTACTCAATCCGATGAGAAATATTGCGAACAGGGTGTCTTCACGGACTTCATTTGTTTGTTTGAGGCTCTCTGCGATACATCTTAAGGCCTGACTTTGATATTGAAGAGCGATAACCTTCAGCTGTGGCATTTCGTCTGCTAGTCTTGCTGCAGAACTGCTCAGCATTGCGTTGAATACTGGCGCAGAATACGAGAAGATTTGAGAAACATATGATCGAAATGGGTTAAGTTCTGAGTCGAAGCTGGAGAAAATGGAACAGACGTTCTTGAAATAATACGTTGCCAAACGTGCCGGAAGGTAGCTAATGGCTGGCGGAATAGAACCCTTCCATGGGACAACTAAAGAAGGATTTAGACACTGATCAATGTCTTGGTATCGCATCGCACCCGGCAATGATGGAATAGTACTTCTGAAGTCCATGGTGCCCATATAGCTATTCGTGTCCCAAGAGTCGGCCAAGTCATGACTATTCTGGAGCTTGTAAAACTCGTTTGCGTTTGCCGATATTAGGCCATTCTCTTCTTCTTCAATCTCCACATTATTCTCAGTTAGGAAACGCGATGTTACATTTGAACATCTCTGTGGAAGAATATTCTGAGCTGTAGACGTTGCTTTTTGAAACGCAGGGAAGCCCATAGTAGAAGCAGATAGAGAGGATAGACAATCATCGGGTGCCGGCCTTGGAGACGTGTTGTATGCGAGGCTTTGGTTTGGCGCTGTTAAAGCTTAGTCTCCTGTGATAACGAGCTAGGAAACCATGTCAAACCTTCAACGTTATTGAACACCTCGTGCTTTGTAGACCATCGTATAATCAGGCCTGGATACCCCGGACATTGGAGTCTTCTTGAAGTGCAGCGGCCACAGCTGGGTTTCGCTTCATCGCATTTTACCTATGCGCGGGCCATCCTTAACTGATGTGCTCTAGAGTTAAGAGGTGTGTGGAGGGTGGGTGGTCACGAACCTTGCTGGATTTACAACGAGCGCAGCCGCTAAAAGTTTTGTTCACTGGGCGTCTTTTGGCAGGCATTGAAAGCGTTTACCTATGAATGTGGGCCACTATGCCAATATATGAAAGATTTAATCTGCAAACGTCAATCTTGCCAATGGCAGAGGAGTCATCAAGGGAGGTCACAAGATGAGTATCAATGGAATACAGAAATATGAAGAGTCGGCTTGAAAAGCGTTGTAGCGAGGCCCTAAATTTCCCAGACAAACAACCTATATCATTGAGTATGTCATAGAGGTTGTCAAGCCACGGTTGTCAGTATGGATGGAGATGAAGTGGACTTGATTCCATGGATGAACGTCCGACCGATACGGTCTAACTCTTATCATAACGAGCTAACAGGGGTAGACTAATTCGGAATAACTTAAGACCGATGCACTAACTACAATCAGAATAATGAGACGGTATCTTGATTCGGTAGTCAGGCACAAGAAGTACCTATTCGCTAATATGAGACTAGAACTGGGGGTCTGTCCCTTGGGAAATACATACCTAATGCTTTAGGTATACAGGTCGTCACACAGTCATCCGTTTGATCGCAATGTTAAGCTCAGATAGGCAATGAGATGTACATAGTATAAGCGCTGTGAGATGTGGGTCACTTCAGCGATTTCTTCTTCGTAAGGTTATCGACTGAGATAGTGTGTGCTGCTGACTAATACGGCATCTCGTTTGTGTACGAGTACGGCATCGTCGATCTATTGGAGCCCGTTTTGTTGTTTCATCTTACCTAAGAGCACCTGAGCTTAATTACTAAGCTCGACTAACTCGGTGTCGGCAGGATGCCAACGGAGATGTAAAAACATTGGCAAAAAAGGTATATATTGTATTCCTCCACTAATTTCGCAACTCGCTTTTCCACTTTATCCAAGCTCCTACCAAATTACCAGGTTTAGTACTCGTAAGCCTTATTCTTACAATCGCCCGCAGTTATATACAAAGAGGGGTCCCCCCACTACTCCTTTATCTTATAGGATAAATTCCCAATCTCGACGAATTTTATTATTTACAGAGAAAGCCGTAAATCAGGTTAGACATTTTAATATTGCTGATGGAAAGCTTATAGAATAGGCACAATCAACTGCAAAGGGGATGCAATTGCAATTATATACCCTAATAGCTAAAATAGCTGAGGTTAGACCATATCACAATATCTCACTGTAATATCAGTGATATCCTTGATCAGCTTCAACCCTTTCCACTACCTGGCTTTATCCGATTAATGTTATATTATCTTAAAGATGTAACTTAGTTTATTATCAGATAGGTTTCTTCCAACACCACTGTTTCTTCAAAAGGGGGTAAACTTTTGAGAGGCTGTGCCGGTATTTTGACTAGATGGTTTTCTTTCGTATCGCATTGGTATTAGCGCCATCTAGCGGCTTTATGCATACGAAGTACGCGTCATCTAGAATATTTTTCATTACTAAAAATAGTGTTGCTTGCCTGGGGAGTTTCGGTGTGTTTAGAATAACAGATTCTGTAACCAATGAGTCAGTTGTATTTATTATTAATTGCTTCTGAATTCCACCCTACGGATTGCTAACTCATTTCTATTCCTTTAATATTCACTAGAGCAAGATCAATACAATATTTTCGGACATTATGCTACTCTCTGCCCGGAGAGTAGCAGTTGCGATGTTTGTTATCTGTGTCACTCTCGGAATGTACGAAGTCGTTCAAGAGAAACATCTCTCCAATTCCCTCAGCTTCTTGAGAGACGTTAGCAACTCGAGTTTACCAATGGAGAAAAAATATCCGCGGTTTGCCTATGCACAATATGCTACTGACATAGATTACTTATGCAATAGTGTACGTTAGATTCCGCGTTATAATATAAACATGGTACCGGTTGCTAATAGATTATGTTGTAGGTTATTAACTTTAACCGTCTGAAGCGTTTCGGTGCCAAATATGACCTGGTGTTGATATTCCCAAAGGCATGGGACCAGGAGGTGAGATAGCTTGGCTTCGACATACCACTCGCCCTGCTAACTAGGCACTCCAGAGTGCGAATACACGTGAGGCTAAGGCCATAGAGAAACTTCGAGCTAGCGATCTCAACATCGTTTTCCGCCCGTTTGACATTCTTTCTACAGACAAAGGAGACTCGACATGGCGCGACAGCCTTACGAAATTCCACGCCTTTGCCCTTATCGAGTACACAAGAATCTTAGCCTTCGACTCAGACTCGCTCGTCCTTAACAATATGGACTTCCTATTTCTTGCGCCAGATTCGCCTGTAGCTATGCCACGCGCATATTGGCTAACCGACGGTGATCATGCTGCGAAGCAGATCCTAGGGTCGCATCTTATGCTTATCGAACCCAACACGCATCGATACAAGAGAATAATCAACGAGGCTATACGGAGTGGCGATTTCGATATGGAGGTGTTAAATGAGTTATTTGAAGACTCGGCCATGATACTCCCTCACCGACGCCTTGCGTTGTTAACAGGAGAGTTCCGAAACAAGCATCACCACAAATACCTCGCCCCTGATGAAGACGAGGAATGGAACGCGATAGTTGAAGCTGGAAGGGCATATCTGGTGCATTTCAGCGACTGGCCCCTGCCAAAGCCATGGAGATCCCATACTGAGGCCCAATGGCAGGCGGCCTTACCGGAATGTCCAGATATTGAGAAACTGGATCGGCCAAAGTGTGCCGACAGACTCGTGTGGACAGGATTTTATAATGATTACGACACTGATAAAAAAGCTTACTGTTATTTAACTAATCCATGAGATACAGCTAAAGTCTAGCGTTTGTAAAACTCCTTGCATCTTTTTACTTTTCTCTATTACGCCCCCAGCCTTCACAAAGCCATAACCTTTGATATAGGACTCGTATCAGCTCTTCGGGATCCAGCCTCAATATTTTCCAATCATTTATAGGGAATAAATGGAGGAGCCGGCTTACATATCTCATTGCAACCAAACCAGAGCCAGAATTGGCAATTACGCTGATTATGCTTGTGGTCATGTGTAAGCCTAGCAACTCTATGATATGGCTGGACTTTCAGCAATATCATTTTAAGTTGCGCTTTTGGTAGATAATATTGGTAAGTAAATAACCTTAGCTTTCTTTGACATAGATTACAACTAACAGAAATTAAGATAGGCCCAGAGAATCGAGTTGTGAATGCGAGGTAGGAATTGGAGTGATTCAGCAAACACCAACAATAGTATCTGGTCCCAATAAGAGAGCTACTGCCTTCTCAAGTAGTCAACTCTTTGAATCCGCCCTCCTCAATGTCTTTTGCGCCTCAATTCACACCTATTGCGGCCCCAGACGAGCCATATCCCAATGGCCCTGCTCTCCTCAGTCCTGCCATTATCTGTGTCTCAACTTGCTATCCTCTTGCTTATCTTGATAGCGCGCCGGTTTTATCAGAGGCTATCACGCACGAAAACGTTCATTGTCTCAAGATGGACCTGATGTGGCTCTGGGCGGTTATGCTTCCGACAGCACCATCAACATTTCGACGACTTCCACCCCGCCTAGGCGGTCATTTAGGCGTACAAGTTAGCCTGAAGAAATTTATGAGTGCCCCGAGGAGTTTGTCCAACGGTTGCATAAGCGGCCTTCCTCAGCTATCAAGGAGGCTCTGCTTGTTGCCAGCGATGGTATTAGAGGCAAGGCCGGCGGGCGTCATCCTACTCTGATGTATGAACCAAACGTCCCAAACGGTAAATACGAGCAGCTGGTGGACGACGCCCTGAAGAAGCTGCCACTGAAGCGCCGCGAGGTCGAACGATTGTCTAGAAGTGATAAAGATTGCGACGAAGAACTCGGAAGCCGCCACTGCTTGATAGAGTATCACGATACGAATGAGACAACATAAATCAACGATACTACTAAGCACTCCCAATTGATCGATTCTCAACGTAACTCCGGGACGGCAGCATTTGGGGACTTGCCACTGCGCAATATCCATTTAAATACCATGGCATTAAAAAAGTGTCTCTACGTTCCAGTTTCACTTTGATAGAGCGTTATGCGATATACAGAGTTAATTTGCTTGGCTATTCCGAAAATTACCAACCAGTCCAATGGCCCACACTGTCTCAAACAAACAATAACGAATCTGGAGCAGCAAAGTTTACACCAAACGAAGAGAGTATAATAGGCGTGTGAAAGCCCCCATGGCGTAGTAGCATGTGCCTGGAGGCTTTATGTTACTTCCGTTCGACATTGTAAGGCAGTCGGTTTACACCCGTTTGAGGGCTCCGTCAACAAATTTAACCATACTTTTTAACCAAATGGTTAGAATTGCCGCAAACGTAAGTCCTTGGGGCAGAACCTGTAGCTGCTGACCGAGGTCGACATAACAACCCGGGCCGTACCCCGTACAATATCAGTTGCCCTGTCCTTACGGCTAAAAACTATGGCCATATCCTATATAATAAGCGGCGCTGCCCAGAGCGGCGCCGGGAAGTTAGGCCTGTAGGCCCCCTGCGGCAAGAAGTAACTGGAAGAAGAAAGCTATGTGTGTATATATACAGCCTACTTGAGCTATCCAACTATCACTGCACTTTCCTCGAATAGCCGAGAATAAGACGGCAATAGGCCGTCATTGCAGTGAAACTACAGCATAGAGATTTTCTCCCCAGTGGCAGGTATGGGTATTCCTTGAAGATTTTTCCCCTATAAAGGACCTAACAGAGGGGCTAGTATGTACCCTAGTATAACTAGTGAGTAACTATTGGTGTAATAGAATAAATAGCCGTGTAAGGGAGGAGGAGTTGCTGCCGTGGACATAAGTACACCGTTCAAGAGAATTTGAGCTGTCCCGTAGTGGATCCACTCGCGGCAGCAACTGTAGCGTTTTAACATTTGTCTTGACGATTTGTTTTTATCTTGGTAATTAAGAAGCATGTAGTCTTAACCCAGAAGATAGCCAGCATACCCCAAGTGGGAAGGTTGCATATTCGACTCTGACATTTAAAATATCAACCCGTAACACAAGATTTGTACAGGTTGAGAGGCACACTTACCGAATGCAATATAGGACAAATGGAACATTTTCAATAGCTATTCGACTTTCAGTAGCCTCTAATCCATTGTGTTAAACAAATCCCCAAGACCAGGTATCACCCACAAGGTTAATTTCCCCAGCTTTCCAACCCCGCATGTCGTCAGTCAATGGAAATGCATCAGTTCCTGTTCAAGGCTGCGGGTTGTAGCAATGCTTTGACCACTAGTCAGCTCTCATAGTAAAATGGTTTCGACGACTTCATTCCATTTTAACTCCAATAGGATTTAACCGTCCGTGGGAGATTTAGCCGATCGGTAGGGTAAAGTTTGTTAGCTAAACAAAACAGCTAATGGTGTGTCGCAGGCTAAATTGCTAACGGACGAGACACGGGATAGCAATGAGCTCACAATGCAGCCCCATAAACATCTGGATTAGGGTAATAGAGTGTGAGGTATAAAATGAAAGGTATTGTTAGTAGAAACCAAGGACCGAGATCTTATATTCAACATCATAGTGCCACTAAATTTAACTATATCTTCATTCACAGGCGGGCGAATTACGTTAACCCAGCGCATGTCTCACCCCCAATCTCTAGAGATGTCTCAAGGCGCAGACAAGAAAGCAGAGGTCGAGCATGTGCCACAAGCTGAAGCCTTCGAAACAGCTGGTAACTGGACCAACCTCGCTGAAGATGCTCGCAACGCAACACAGGAAGAACATAGCTTGACGTTTCTCAAGGCCGTCAAGATGTACCCGCAAGCATGCATGTGGTCTATGATTGTCTCAATCGTTGTCATTATGGATGGATACGACACGGCTCTCATCGGCAATCTTTTCGGGTATCCCGCTTTTCAACAGCAATTTGGTCATCCCCAAGGACAGGGGAAATATCAGTTAGAGGCAAAGTGGCAGACTGCTTTAGGACTGGCGAGCCCTCTAGGTAATATCGTTGGCATTTATCTCAACGGTCTTATCACTGAGTGGCTTGGTCACAAGAAAGCTGTTCTGGGAACTCTTGTGTTTCTTACTGGTGTTCTATTTATTCCCTTCTTTTCAAAGACCATTGAGGTGCTTTTCGCCGGGGAATTGTTGTGTGGTTTGGCATGGGGTGTTTTCACCACTTTGGCCCCCGCATATGCCTCAGAAGTCGCCCCAGTAGCCCTTCGCGCATACCTCGAGACTTTCGTTGTCCTTTGCTGGGGAATCGGCCAGTTCGTTTCATACGGTGTTCTCTACGGCTTGGTAAATCGCACCGATGAGTGGTCTTGGCGAATCCCGCTTGCCATCCAGTGGGTTTGGCCTGTTATCGTTATTCCTCTGCTTCTGTTTGCACCTGAGTCTCCCTGGTGGCTCGTTCGCAAAGGTCGTATCGACAAAGCGGAGCAGTCTATGAAACGACTTTCCTCCAAGAAAACGCAAACTAGTAAGCAGTCTATTGCTTTGATGGTTCAAACTACCAACCTGGAGATGGCCATGACGGAAGGGGCCTCATACAGGGACTGCTTTCGCGGAACAAACATATGGCGTACCGAAATCGGATGCGTCGTTTGGGCGTCCCAGGTTCTCTGTGGTTTTGCCATAGCTAATTACTCGTCCTACTTTTACGAGCAAGCTGGGTTGGCCGCAGCAAACGCTTACAAAATGACCATTGGACAAGGAGGAATTCATTTCTTGTGCACTCTACTCTCAGTATTTGTGACTGCACGATTTGGTCGACGTGGAATCATGCTTTGCGGATATGCGGGCATGTCTTGTGCTATGTTTATTCTTGGATTTCTAGCACTTGCTCGCCAAACCACGGGCCTGGGCTATGGCCAGGCTATTATGTATCTTGTCTGGTACGTCATCTACCAGTTGACTGTTGGTCCAACTGCCTACATTATTGTTGGCGAGATATCTTCCACCCGCCTTCGGTCTAAAAGTATCTCCCTGGCTCGTAACGCATACAATGTTGCAAATGTGTTTAGCGCCACTGTGGCTCCCTATACTCTGAATCCTACTGCGGGAAATCTGAAGGGCAAGACTGCCTTTCTGGCTGCCGGTTTCTCGCTCCTTTGTTTGCTGTGGGGTTACTTTCGCCTCCCCGAAAGCAAAGATAGGACGTACGAGGAATTGGATCTATTGTTTTCACAGAATCTGAAGGCTCGTGAATTCAAAGATGCGTCTGCCGACAGCATGGATACATCTGAATTTACCAAACAATATTAAAATGATATCCTGACATACCCACAGCATTCTAACTATTTCCTGGGGGTCTTTAGCTAGTAGTACTATTAGTTTTGTAGGATACAATAGAACTTTCCTGTTCAAATTCCAACTACGTCGTCCGATACTAAATCTTCTAACCACTCGTGAGTTGTTCTCTATAGCATTGGGTAACATTGAAACATGAATTCCTTCACTTGACTTGTAACATAAAAACAGCATAGCGTATATCCAAGTATGATACTTCACTAGTATCCCAGGCTATATACGATTTAAAATAATTAACGTCCTCAATTTCTAAGGCATGTTACGGTATTCTAGTGTTATTGGTATTTTCCTATTAGAATATCCTAGTCTCTTAGCTATAGGGTATTGCAGTTGAATAGTATTCAAACATGACTACAGATAATTATTCCTCATGCAAGCAACTTTGCGACTTCGCCCCGTCAAGGCCGTGGGAGATCTTTCAACTCCACAATTTCACGAACCGAACGAGCCCGTTTGGTGGAAATTTTTAGGGATTTACCCGTTGAACGCATTTTCCCGACCAACCATTGTGGACCGTTTTGATTATACTTAAAGGCAGAGAACCATTTTTAGTATTCAATGTCGACGCACTCGCGATTGAATATGGGGTAAATGCTCCAGGGACCGAGACCCGGCCATCCTACGGAGAAACGGCACGGCTAGGCTGGAATGGGGAAAAGCATTAATCACCTGAAGAATAACCGAGAAGACCCAATAGTACTACTTGTATTAGCGGTCGGTTGAGGGGAAGTGAATGCAAAGGTGCTGCCGGGTATGATGATAGTGGTATTAAAACGATGGACGCTAGCCAAAACTGATAATTGATGATTAAGTTAACTCGACCAAGTAACGTACAGTGGGAAATATATAACCCCGTCTCCACAGAAAGATAGGAGGTATGATCTTAGAGCAACGTAATAGAAAGAAGCATTTATCCCTATAGTCCGCAAGCTGAGGGCTATTACAATGGCCCACAGGCTCTCGTGAGAGTAAAAGGACGTTAGGTAAGACGTAAAAATGAAAGATACCGTGATTAGCATCTGGATTAGAATTCTATGCATCACGACCCCTCCCCGCCTTTCCTATTGCGAAAGAGGGGAAAGCACCCTAAGGATATTTTACACCAAGTGTCAGAAACCAAATTCTAGCATCAGCTAAGAGAGATTCTTGTTGTTGTACGCAGTTTACGAAGAGCTTCTGGACAAACGTATACAAGTGCATAAAAATAGCAATGTTGCAACAAACACATATTGTAGTCAAGTGCAAAATTTCTTCCTAGGAATTCTCATTAGGGGCTGCAAGTAGAAGTAAAGAAATGATGCGGTAGATCGCTGCAATACACACACACACACATATATATATATATTAATTTAGTGGTGTTTTGCAGAAGTTTCAGTTACACTCCAGGAGATCCTTGGGTGTTGCGGCAGGGTTTGTCCCAACGCGAATACAGTCACTGCTGGAGAAACAACGGCAATTTTTTCAGATATTGACCACAGCAGCATTATCTTCAATAAATATTCTTATCGACTATCTAGTATGATTGCCCGCCCCTTGGACCATTAGAGAGCCCTTCATCGCGAAGTGAATTTGACGGTGACTACGCTATTGGGAGGAACTGCAACCTCAATAGACGAGCTCTGTCGCTTAAAGTTGGTCTCATGTACCCTGTGATTGTTATCAGTCAACCACACTTGCGCACTTGATTTCTTCCCAGTAGGAATAGCAACATCGGCAAGTTGTGACGAATTACCACTGTTGGTAAAAATGACAATGACAGATTTGTCAGTATTCTGGAACGCTGCGGTAATCACATTTGGTAAAGCACCGCTGACGGCAACGCGATTCGCACCAGGGCGAATGAATCGGGACCACATGGTGAACGCATAGTAAATGCTGGAGGGCTCGGGATCCTGTCCAAGAACATCGACGAGATGGCTTGCGGACTGGTTCTGACTAATCTCAAAGCCCTCCCAGAACAAATATGCAGAAAGTCCAGCATCGACAAATCCTGTCGCAAGTTTGCTTGCCCATGTCATGCCTTCGTTCAGAGCACCATCGTCATACCACGTAGTAGTAAATGGGGCAGAGCTCGTCTCAACACCTGCTTCTGTGAGCCAGGTTGGCAGGTTCGTCTTTAGTGGAAACGTAGCGTCGCTTGAATACATATGAGAGGATATAATGTCGAGGTACTTCTGCATTCCGGCAGCCATTAGGTAATTGGTATAATTGGCTTGTGTGTCCCAACCCGTCGCATCACAGCAGGTAAGTCGAAGATCCAAGTGTTCGCGCTTTACTGTCTCGTATAGGGTCGGGATGAAGGAGATAGCCTCCTGTGCGCTGGGACTAATCTGCATCTGCGAGTAGCTAGCACTATTGAGACGAGTAAATTGGCATCAGTAACAATTCATTGTTAAGTGGCAGTATTTAGGGTTAAGAGATAACGTACATGTAATCTGGTTCGTTTAAGAATCCAAGATGAGTGATGTCAAGGCCTTCTTGCTTGTAGAACTTGACGTATTGAACAAGATAGTTGGCGAAAGCTTGCCTCCAGTCACCAGTGGAGCAAGTGTGGCCAGTTGATCCACAAAGATACCTGGAAGTAGCTATTAGCAGAAGTTTCAATATGAAAAGACTAACAAGATATACCCAGGTGTGGCCTCATCTCCGTTAGTCTTCATATAACCAGGTGCACTCCATGCGTCCGCATAAATAGTTTTAACACCATAGCTAACAGCTTGTTTAGTGAACCAAATTTGGCCCTCGTCATCGCCATCCCACGTGTAATTGGGTTTATTAGAGGCCAACCCAGGGCTGTTTGGCTCAATGGAGAGCGCAGTAGTAGATGGGATCCAATTTCGGATGATACTGAATCCTGCACCTGTTTTTGTGTCAAAGAGAAGGTCAAGTGCTTTCTTTCGCATTTCAGGTTCTGCAGCCTGGAATTGAGAAGCTCGCCCAAATGCCTGAGAAAAACCAAAGCCATCAATGCGCTGCAGCTTTGAATTGGTATTGATCTTGATGCTCGTTGCTGAGGTAGTGGGCACAGTCAACGCGACGAGCCCCACGGCGGCAAGGGCGAATGCTTTCATCTTTTTCCGTATCAAGTAACGTAATTAGCAAGAAAAATCTTCCATAAAATTGCTAAGCATAGAGTCTTTTGGTTTACTGCAGGGACCAAAGTTCTTAAATATTTTTCCCTCCACTTGTCTTTAAGATCACCCTGGATAATAAGACTCTAGAGAACATAACGCCTGCCATGCTCCCCAAGACCCTGATCAGAATATTAGCCGGTACTTTTTCAACCCGAGCGCGCTGAGCTCAGCACTTCGCTTGAGCAGCCTGTCGTTAGTGGCTGCTAGACTAGTAAAGCCAATGTTGGCTCTTCAGGACTCATCGCTTGCTCCACTCATGCTCCCTGCATTTCTTTTGATTTCAGGCTGAAGTAATTTGCCGTATAACGGCAACTGGCGTTGTAAACTATGTGTTGGATAAACATGTGAATTGACTAGTTAGCTAGCAAGTAACAGGATTATTTAGTGTCTCGCAGCTCTCAAAAATTCACCACAGAATGGATGAAGCTTACCAACTGTTCACATTTGTCTCTCAAGCCTGAAATATTACACATTTCTAACCTTGTTTTCATTGAACTCGAAGGTTTTAAGTATGCTTCCTTCCGAGACTGGCATCGATGGCTGGTTGCGGTATGCCGCACTTCCTGATGAGCTGGCCAGCCGACACCCCCAATACTCGACAATTATCTCCCTTGCGGACGATCAATGTAGTCCTGTATTCACTGCCGCGAGAGAGCTGCAACTCGGTCTCTCTAAGATATTGAGCCAGAATGTTACTCTTGAGACGAAGCTCTTGGTCTCCGCAGCCAGCTCCTATATTGTTATAGGAACAGTAAAAACATTCTTGTCTGCTGGCCGAGACGAGTATGAGAATCTGCCTCTCAAAGATGATGGATACTGTCTCGTCTGTAAGGACGGAAAGGCTACGGAAATCATCGGCCAAAACGACCGAGGTGCACTGTACGGCGCTTTTGAGTTTCTCAGGTTTCTATCACGGAACCAGCTGCTGCCCGAGATGCGTATATCTAACCCCAGTGCTCCAATTCGATGGGTCAATCAGTGGGATAACCTCGACGGCAGCATTGAAAGAGGATACGCAGGCCCTTCGATATTCTTTGCAGACGGATATGTGCTGGACGATCTGACTCGAGTTCAACAATATGCGCGGTTGCTAGCGTCTGTCGGACTGAATGGCCTGATTGTGAATAACGTCAACTCCAATTACAACCTTCTCAATCCCATCAATATGCAAGGACTGACTCGGATCGCTGACATCATGAGACCATGGGGAGTTCGAATTGGCGTTTCTTTGTATTTTGATACCCCGAAGGGCCTCGGAGGTTTACGGACATCCGATCCTCTAGATCCCGACGTCATTGCGTGGTGGGGTTACATTACTTCCGAGCTGTATCGTCATGTCCCTGACATGTTGGGGTATCTGATCAAGGCGAATTCTGAAGGACAGCCGGGCCCATTGACATATGGCCGCACTCTGGCTGATGGTGCGAACATGTTTGCTAGAGCCCTGCAACCGCACGGTGATGGTGTCGTCATGTACCGCGCTTTTGTCTACAACCACCATCTCGATGAGTCGGATTGGAAGAATGACAGGGCAAACGCGGCTGTTGAGTACTTCGACGGGCTGGATACTCAATTCGAAGATAACGTCATTGTTCAGATCAAATACGGTCCCATCGATTTTCAGATCCGGGAACCACCATCGCCACTTCTTGCTCATCTGCGAAAAACGCCAATTATTCTAGAACTCCAGGTTACACAAGAGTATCTTGGCCAGCAAGATCACGTCGTATATTTACCGCCACTTTGGAAGACGATTTTCAATTTTGATCTCCATGTAGACGGTCAGCAATCGTTGGTCCGAGACATAGTTTCTGGTCAACGGTTCAATTGGAGTCGAAGTGGTTACGCGGCGGTGGTTAATGTAGGAAATGATCCTACATGGTTGGGGAGTCATCTTGCTATGGCAAACCTGTATGCATATGGATTGTGCACTTGGGACCCTCAGCAAAGCGAAGAGGACATAATCCAAGGCTGGGCACAATTGACTTTCGGCCTGGACAAAACTATTGTGGATACCATAACAAATATCTCTATGGCTTCTTGGCCAACGTATGAAGATTACAGCGGCAATCTTGGCATTCAAACTCTGTGCGATATTGTCACGCATTGTCATTATGGTCCCTGCCCAGCGTCGCAGGATGGCAATGGATGGGGTCAGTGGACTCGTGCTGATGCACATTCAATTGGTATGGATCGAACTGTTGCCACGGGAACAGGAAATGCAGGGCAATATCCTCAAGTTGTTGCTGAGCAGTTTGAGTGCATTGATACCACTCCCGATGAGCTGCTCTTGTGGTTTCACCACGTCCCGTACACTCACCGTTTAAAGTCTGGTAAAACAGTTATTCAGCACTTCTATGACGCCCATTATGCCGGAGCTCTTGTTGCCCAGACATTTCCACAGCAGTGGGAAGCTTTGAGGGGATTGATTGACGATGATCGATTTAACCATGTCGCTTTTCGTCTTCGGTATCAAGCGGGCCATGCTCTAGTCTGGCGAGACTCCATTAACAATTTCTACTATGCCAAGTGTGAAATCAAGGACGAACGTAACCGTGTTGGTAACCATGCATGGCGAATTGAGGCCGAAGATATGACGCTTGAAGGATACATGGTTGTTCCTGTCACGCCATTCGAGGCTGCATCTGGAGGAAAAGCGATAGCGACGATCCCAGGGGCAGATATAGGTACTGCACAGTGTACTGTTACTTTTCCTTCTGGGATTTATGACATTGCTATTAATTATTATGATCATCTGGGCGGCAGATCGCAATACCAAGTCTTCTTGAATGAAAGACTAATTGGGACTTGGACAGGTGATCTTGAAGATAAATTGGGTCATGACTTCTCAGACCGCATAGATGGTCATTCTGCAACTCGAGTCACCTTCAATAAGGTGAACGTGAAAAAAGGCGATTCACTTAGGATAGTTGGTAGGCCTGATGGGAGCGAACTCGCTCCGATAGACTATGTTTCATTACTGCCACCAGGTATTGTGGATTAAATTCAACAAATCTTCTCAGCTGGATCGCAAAGTTTGTATAGAGGTCTAGATAAACCAACCCAAGACACATTTTCTGGATCTTTAAAATGAGAAACCAACTCTATGTCGAACATCCACGTGAACTATAAGACGTAATTGAATCATTGAAACCAGTCGCGTGACTTTGAACGAAATATGTCACTGGGTGGCTCTTGCCGGAGTACTATATTCTGTCAAATTAATGCTTGCCTCTAGTTTTGCTGCAAAGGTATAGCCATCTTCTACAGTTTGTGGTAATTAAACCAGATTGTAGAAAGCGTTGTGTTAGTAAGATATGTGCTCAGGATACAAACAGAATGTAGGAGGCGCTGTTCTCCCCGGTCATATCTAATAGGAACTCTCACTATATAACCACAAAGGCATTTTATAACAGTTAACTTTATCAACACCCTTAGCAGCGGCGTTTGTTATCTTGTAAATATTTGGGTTGAGTTACTTTCTAGCTTCTGACATAGTTCTCCTTACAAGTGATAGAACATTCCAAACGTTCTGAACAATCCTTTACTGTTCGTTGTATTTCTTCCATATTTTACATGTTCGTTACATTACGTGGGATTGAATATGACTGGAATTAGTGTGGCTGGCTTGTTCAACAATAGTAGAAAGCGGGCGTAAATTGAGGGTTCAATTACTACCAAACTCAAAAAAGTTTCTGCTGGCAAGCATTTCAGCTACTAACCCTGATGTAATACCGGTCTACGAAACTCCAAGGTCATATTTTTCAGGCGATCGACTCTCAGGCGTTTCTCGTGGCTCAAACTCTTGATGACTTGGTGATCTATAACGATGTTTCGTTCAGGGAGGATAAAGTAAGCAATCCACCTATGTTGAACGTACTATAGACTACTCCTATTTTTTAGAATCATTACGACCTAGCATGTCTAGAATAGTTTCTCAAATATATGAAGAGGAAAAGAGTCTGCCATGGCGTAGAATGCAGTTTGATTTGGGTGCAATCCATCCCCTGAGTCAAATTCTCTCTTTAGCCGCGATTGGTCTGCCGGGTCTCGCAAGATCTCATCAAAGTCAACCACGGCATCGAAGACGCCACATGTGCGAATCCAGTTGTTGATGCTTTGTCTCGTAGACTCTCGAATTGGATCACAATAAGATGTGACGGATGCATCCCCATGCCTTATAAGATCTGTTTGTGGAATGCCAAAAGGTGTTAACGTTGCTGCAATGATCGCAATGTCCTGCGCCCTTAGTCGGATAGCAATTTGCTTATACGCAGCAATTAGCCGATTGCTTAAGACCTCTTGACTGTGAGAATCGGCGGGTGCCGTGCCAATATCGTTGATGCCTTCGAATATCATAACGGAGCTGACACCGGAAAGGCATATAATATCCCTATCAAGCCTACTCAACACGTTGGGCCCAAGGCCATCACCCATGACGCAATTACCTCCGGCCGCTTGATTCACTACCGCAAGGGACGTATGTAATCCAGGTGTAGTATCCTGCAATCGTCTAAATAGAATATCCGGCCATCTTCACGTATCACGTGTCAGCGTTTGATTGCATCATCACATCTAGTTTTGGTCCAAAGGGGTCAACGCACCGGGTATCGCCGTTAGTGAGGCTACATCTGCCGTCCGTAATGCTGTCCCCAATGAGAGCAAAGGCTCGCGTATCTCGTGGTGCAAACACCTCGATACCGCTAATGTAGTACCTATGTCACTGTCAGAATCTTTGCATAGTATAATGCAAAAGCTACAAATACTGTTTCCAGAGGAACTTTTTAATTGAAAGAAAATTTTACCCACCAGTGATCAGTCTGCTTGACGTCAAGGCGATTGAAATCCCCCTCAGACACACGATTTCCTTTGATGAAATACGACGTGGTGCGGCTCCCTGGGTGCGCGGTGATGCATCGCGCGTCATGACCATCTTCAAGGAAAATGCTAATACTTAATACGGTGTTAGATTGTAAAGGAAACCCAAAATTTACGGCGTCAGAAACTATGAGCGCTCCTGCCGGAATAGTAGCAGATTCACTCCCGCCGAAACTGACACTTCGTATGGTTTGAGATTGAATTCCTGTGGTCCCCGACTCATTCTTGGTCGGCAGTGCTAGCGTTGTGTGTGCTATTGTAAGAGGCTCGGATCCAAACACATTGGACAGCCTGATTCGGAGGAGTTTCTCTGTTCCAATTGACAGACGTACGGTTTGGCGAATAGTAGTGCTACGAAAGGCCACACCCTCTTTTATCTGCAATTGAGGTTTCATCATGAGTTTATGTAGAGTGTTTAGAAAGACGACCAACGCTGATGCGATTGAATGCATATTTTTGCCAAATTGTAGTTTCATACTCACAAAGTCATCTGGGGGAAGGTTATCGCCATCTGCAAGCATTGGCATACTAGCCCAGGTGTGAACCCAGTGCCCTTGGCTATTTGAATTTGAACTCATACTAGCTGGACTGGCGTAGTAACAATAGCTCACAAGCACTTGTGTTTAATTTGTCATTGTAGGAAAACACCGGCTTACACTACATATGTACCTTTGGCTAGGACAGAGGTAGACTTTAGTAACCCACCGGGTAAATTTGCGAATACAGGTGCCCACTAATAAGTCTCAGCCGATTAGGCGGGTTGACTACCAGTCAACCCGCCAAGTAGTGGCAATCTCAGTACAATTGTTATTTTATCCGGGCCCGCCCACCCTGTAGCTCCATCGTCGCGACTTTAAGAGTGGTCGTGACAATATATTTTGAGAAAAGCTGTTTCTCCGGCTTTCTAGGTAATCTATAGTATTAAAATACTGCCTTTGTATGCCCTCAATTGTGTAGTGCGGTTAAAATACTGTAGCCCAAACTGAGTGTCAAAACTGCCACATTCCCAGTTATCCACGAAACTCCACATAAACGCTCCTAGAACATGGATCGGGTTCTCCTAAGTGGCCTTTAACCTTGAATATTCCTCCTAGGAATGATACATATTATTTAAAACGAACGCTATCGTATTAGATTGTGCTGAGCTCTGGCGGATTTGCTGTACCGTTTGTGGGATGTCTGAATTCCGTTACCATGACTGGCGCACGAAAGGTGTTCCTAAGGTATGACAGCTGAGTGCGTAGGAAAGTTAATGTAGTACTTGTATACATCTGTATACTCGCACTAGGTTGGCCAATCAACCAACCATTCGAAATTGTCTCGCTGATACCGACACAACTTGGGTAAAATGTGTTCTTTGTCTGGCTATTTGCGGCGCGATGTTGTTGACAGGTTCGGAAGCAAGTGTTGTATTTCAGCATAAAGCGGATCGTACTGAGGGGGAGAACTGAATGTTAGTACTGGCGATGCTGTGCGAACCGTTTCTGTGTTAGTGTATTTGAATTGAGAAAATTCGTATGTTGGGGGTTTGCCCAGAGCTGAGTGAGTGGTCACTAAAAGTGGAACCAACGGGTACTTTTAAATACCTATAAGAGACATCAAGCTGCAGAGTGTTTCTTGTTCCGTACCCTGCTCTTTACCCTTGGTAAGGCCCGGTATTACACGATAACCCTTTTCAGCTAGACGCCGGACTTCCCTGCTCTACTGCCGGGCTTTCAATGTGCTAGGTAACTTTCTACCACAGAGAAAGCAGCAGAGCAACTCGTCTTCTATGGAGTACGTTGGATTTTTTTCTTTTTCTTTTGGCATTATCAGGTACTCTCTACCCTTGCTTGCATGGGTACTACTTTGAACGCGCCAAAGCCATAGCCCAATGCTTCTCGTTCGCTCATTAAACGTCACACGCCCTCTATTTGTATCTGCTCGCGACCTTCTCTACCAGTGGAGTTCTAGTCGATTCCTTTAGTGCTCGTCTAGGACTCAATACTGAAGAGAGATTTCACATCTCAGTACCAAGACCAATGACAACTTGGCCCGCAGCCAAAGACGTCAGCCAGAATATAATTGAGGAGAGGAGAGACTATATAATAAACAGTCAACAAATTACGGAGTATACACCCTCATGATGACTTTGCATTGCTCCTACATCGCCAGCCGCGGGGTAAGATCCCAGATCGTGGACTGAAATACGGAATGTGGGCCACTGCTGATCTGGAGAATAATTGGGGGAAGCGGAGCGGAGAACTTCATGCTTACCCCTCAAGCTGCAATAGGGGTTGCGCAGGTGGCAAATCTTGAACACTGGTGATTGTTTGCAACTTCACTATGAATATTTTGAGATATATAATATCGCCCGATCAAGTGCAACCTTCGTTATCTTTGTTGCAGTCGCTGCACGTTGCAGTTGGATATTCCCTTCTGTCACACTGATGGTGGGACTAGGGCAGAACGAGGTCAGCGTTATGACACACTCACCTATAGCGTAGAGCTGGAGGGGCGGGCGTGTCAGCACCATTGGCGTTGCGCGCCATCGTCTTAAGGGTTGCCGCCGGCAGGGTAAAAGTAGAAGCACAATAGGAGAACCACGCCTGCCTGCCGACTGCCATGGCCATGCCGTTATTTTGAAGCGTGAGAGAGCTTCTCGATGACCCCCGGTCCATCTATTTGACCGCTCCCATTTTGGCAGTCTTGGGCGATAATATTGCAAACAATGCTCTCAATATTAATTACTCGCCACGAACCCCTCCCCCAATACATCCAAGTGTCGTGCTCTCTGATGGAACAGATGCAGGCATGCAAAATTTGCCTCTGTTGAGGGTTAAAATGAGACAGCTTGTAAAGATGTAAGTCTAATAATTTCCCGCAGCACGATGGGCTATACTAAGTAGAACAGATTCTGTTCGCAATTGTTACAGTCTATACCTGTCTTTACTAAAGACGATTTTGAAAACGCGGGACTCGTATTCGAACGGCAGCTTCTACCCAACATTATGTCACCATTTTCCTTATATTCTGCCGACATGGCTCCTTAACACAGTAACAGAATTTTATTGACCTAGGTAGCTAAGACTCCGCGGATCTATTGATGGCTGTGTTGAGCCCTAATTAAGTTCTATGCGCTTCACTAAAGAAAGGAGCGGACTCAAAACCCTACCTGCAATGGCACCTCCATACGGCGGGGTTTCTCTCCCCCTTATAAATTATCTGGTTTGCAGCCGACCGCCTGCACTTCCTCCCCAAATAGTCACCTTGGAAGGATCGCCACCAAATGCGGATTTGTGACGTTGAATCCACTCACGAGCTAGGCGCTGATCTAGAAGGCCAGCATTTTGCACTGCGTCGTGTCCGTCAAACTCCTTCGAGTTCAAGAACCCATATACACCAAGGCGATAGATTTGGATTTTCGCGATATTGGCATAAGAGCATCGAGGAGCAAGCAATCTTCGGACGATGGCAGTGAAGGAATAGCATCTGGGACTTGAAGGGCCCCTAAATCAGTGCCATTGGCGCAGGCGATTGGACCCTAGATACATTGAGCCCCCGCATTAGTATCATCAATAATTGCTGAGGTTGAATATTTATAATGTGATTCTATGAACACCTCAGTATTTTACATGTCCTAGGTCAATTACTGGGGTTTTCTTTCTGTTTTGAGACGACACCCTAAGAACGCAAGTACTGCTGAGAGTGCAGGTCAATAGAATATATTTGATCATAGTTTGTAGTGGAATATTCTGCACAAGTCCTTGAGTGCATTAACGAAGTGTGTTTAAGTATCACAAAGCAAAACAATTTACTAGCATATTCTGCGTTAGCTCAGAACTTGTGATATAGCTGCTAGGATATAATAATAGTGGGGTGATGAATATATTGCTGGCGTTTAACGCTGTCATTCTTATTGTTAATAAGAACCTGGTTTTGAATACTTTCATCTACTTTATACTTGGAGCATAGATTAAGAATATTACACTGATATTTAGTATAAGATCCTATCTTTTATAGCTATATAGTACTCCACCACAGGAACAATGCCACAGAGACAAAGTATGCTGCCACTCTATTGTTAGAGGCAGGTCCTACATTTAAGCAGTAATAGCAGCAGGGATGTTGAGAGTGGTTTTTCCATCAACTGCGTCCTTGACAACGGCCCATTGAGCAGGGCTGAAGAAGATCTAACATCTGTAAATACAACTATTCAATCCTTCCAGATGCGGGGATGGTGTACATACCTTGCTCTCCTCCTTGACTTCGTTCTGAACCTCAGAGGTTGCTGAGGCCGCATGATGGTTGCTGCAACCCTTATCCTGGCCAACTGGCAAGTTTGGGGGGCCCGCATGAGAACAAGGTATATACCCCTAGAACTACACCTCGCAATCATATCTTATATTAGCTAGTGCAAGCTTGTATATCTCCCTGGATCATTTCTGACAACACAGCGCTTCTACCTCTCTCTAACCATTAAGCAGCAACAGCTATTACAGGTGTAAAAACCACTACCAGATTTCGCCATCCTGAGTAGTTATTCCTCTTTATCCCAGCTTGCTATTAAAGTAATTTTATATATCTGTTTAGATAAGACGAAGAGAGCATAAGAAATCGGCAGCTCCGGCTCTTGGTTGATAAGCTTTCGGCTTAGCTAGGCCGGTTTCGAACGAACAAGACTTTGTGTCAGTGATTAACCCGTCGGTGATTAACTTGTCGGTGATCTAGCTCCCTCCGTCCTACCGTCCAGGTGTGGATTGATACTTACGTAGTTGACATTAATAGAACAAGCAAGCATTTATTATTTCGCTGCCTATGGTGCTTATATATCGAAAACGAAACAAATTAAGACAAATTATAATCCATGTTAAACTTCTCACTGTTGTTGCATACCCTCTTAACGTTCATTAGTGGGACAGCAATACATGGCTTCGATCTAAATCTGGCGAATTGGTGGCTGCACCTGAGGAACTTGTCTTCGATTATGAAGCAAGGACAATTCGGCGAAGAGAAAACGCAGATGACGACTTCGTCAAAATCAGCGGGGCTGCTCCTACCTCCAGTGTATCGGGAGCCAGTTCTGAGAGATTTGCTGAAGAGCAGTGGCGCACTATTCAGGCTATCGCCAGAGTGATAGCCAAAGAGAAAGTGGCTTTTACCGATGAGGACTGGAAGAACGCCCTGGAGGCTGTTAACGACGGATTGAACGGAAGTGGTGTACAAGCAGTACAAAGAGTCCATACACTTAATGACTCCCAGGTTGGCGTTTTGAAACTGGCATTAGGTGATCTTTTGGGTAACAACAGCTCTAGCCTAACTGCTATTATTGCAGCTTAGTCTACTTGAAGTACCTAGTGTTACTTATATTCCTCTTGAAGATAGCAAGATGAGTTCCCTTCACCATTGCAGAACTCATTATACTGATAGGATAGTGTGGAACGTAATTGCATCTGATAAAATCTTCTAGGTAGTTACATGTAGATGATTTAGTACGCTGTGCCGTCTCACTTCGGAGGCCTTGGCTAACATCTCGTGCCGCTGGAATTGGTTTTCTTCATCGCTGGGTCCTGTGGCTTAATGTTCCAGGCCTCATACATGGCCATAACGTCGTCAACACTCTTCCCACTTTTCAGGGCGTCTAGGTATACTTTTGCTCTGTCAACGTTAATGAACAGAAACTCAACCTTACTGGCCTTGCCGGTCAAATATGCCCAGCGATCTGTATCTGCAACGGCCTGATGCAACTCCTGAAGTACCTCCCAGCCAGCCACAATCTGTCTTCTAACCATCTCGGCCTCGGTTCCGTGCAACTCTGACACGCCTCGTTGACCCTCAGCAATGCGTGCTAGACGGACAAACTTTTGCGGACTATTCCGACGCTGTATTTGCTTCATAATGCCTTGCATTGTATAGCCAACAGGCCCAACTATAGCAGAGAGGGGCTTTAGTACCAAACCGCCGAGACCCATGCCCATTCCTTTGAGGAGTCCGACGGCGCCTTCGTTCCTGGTACCTCGAATCGGAAGAGTAACAACACCTGTAACACCGTCAAAGATGCTGTATACAAACTCCCTTCTCGATGCTACCAGTCCAGAGTGGAACCCAGTAACTCGATGCAGTCGCCTAACAGTATCGTCGCCATATAGCCGTGGCGCATTGTGGCATCCTTGAGCAAGAGCAACGATAAACAGTGTAGGGGCTTTTGCGAGAGCCGAACCAGTTTCAATCAGACTTGACGAAATATCCCTTCCGTATTGTACATGGCTCACAGGGATAAGCGATTGTCTGCGTGTCCTCGGGTTCCCTGTACACGAGGTGGCTGCTGAGCCTGACATTTCATTGGAAGCATTCGGTAGCGGCTTGGTGGCATTACCTTCTTTGGACTTCTTCCTTGATCTTTGCCTGAGCCTTTGTTTTGTAGTCCTTCCCAGCCTATATGGCGCACTCGCTATGCCCTGGAATACGTCGCGCACAGAATTCTTCAGTGATTCTGCGATGGCAGTTATTGGCTCGCCGGGTCCTCCAAAGTCACTCCATTCCGAGTGACGTAATAGGCGTAGTTTATTCCAGGAGAGATGGCCGCCGTCGACGAGCATTGCGGCTGCAAGAGTGGATAGCCTGATATGTGTGCCTTTGACTTTCCACACGGCAACGTCTGACTTGATAATAGAACAACTCAGCGTGGGAGGGCCGTACATCTTGAGTTGCCGCTGGAAGCTCTCCATAGTATTTTTTGCCCCGTCTCCATCAGCTCGGATCGACTCCGCGATCTCTTCCGCGGCCGATTTTGCCTCTTCAGTGAGGAGGTATCCAATGCCTTCTGCAAAGTTCTCATAATTAAGACGCTTATACGGTATTGGCTTTGGCCCGGCCCCGGATTTTCCTACCATGCTGCCCCAAAAGTACTGGTCTCCAAAAAAAGGTATAATCATTGTCGGGAGCCCACATTTGAGGCCTATAGCTGTAGTACCGGCTCCCCCGTGGTGAACGCATGCCTTAATTTTTGGGAATAGCCAATCGTGCGGCGTATTATCAAGCATAAAAATATTGTCGGGAACTTGATCTTTGTCTAATCCAAGGCCACCCCAACCTCTGGAGACAAGGGCTCGCACACCTGCCTTTCCCACTGCATCAAAGATAATCTTAGTAAAGCTTTTGGGGTTGTCTACCACAATCGAACCGAACCCTATGTATATTGGTGGCTCGCCCGCATTCAAAAAGTCAACAAGCGGCTGAGGTGGGTCAAATGCTGAGGCTAGATCGAGGAACACAAATCCAGATATGTTTATCTCCTCGCCCCAATCATTAGGTTTGGGAATGAGGGCCGGTGACCATAAGTACGTAAACGGCACATGCATTCGATATATAGCATACGGAGCCCAGAAAGTAGAGACCGCATCCAGGGCCAAAGTCCGTACACGGAAGTCGTTTATTAGGTCTCCTAGGCCCTGCCAGGTCATTGTCTCAATGAGCGGGTATGACATGAAGTTTGCATACCCTCCGTCCTTGGCGTTTTCTGTATTTCCTTTGATGTTCGCCAAGGGATGAGGAAATGCTCGAGTAGGTGTGTATGGAAACGTAAAAACCAGGTGGAGAGGAATGCCAAGAGCTTCTGCGCAATGAATATGCGCAAAGCTAGGGGGATTAGAGATGATAGCATCTGCTATAAATATGTCTTTGTCAGCGAAAGCATTCGGTGCCGAAGCATTTGCTTGCAGAGAGGTACAGTCATCTTCTGTTGCGTGAATACAAGCTCTCCAGAATCCATCGAGCATCGTAGCCATTGCCGCTCTTCGTTTGCCAATTTCACCGGCTTTTACTGTGCGAAAGGTGGGGATCAACCCGGGGTTTTTAACCATAAACTCCATTAGTTCTGACGGGTCTCCGCCGACAGAAAAGAATTCCAAACCAGCTTGACTCTCCACAATATCCCGGAAGATGGGGTGTGTGGCGATTCTTACACGATGGTGATAGTCCTCTTTAAGCTGCTTGCCGATTCGCAAGAACGGCTGAACATCACCACGGGAGCCCACAACCATGATGACAATATTCAGCTTTTGTGGAATCTGAGCAAGCTTTGGGGCGTTTTCGCGGGCATCAGCAGCAGTCATCTTTCTCCTAGACTGCATGCTATATTTCACAGCACCAACAGCGTTTGCAATGTATCCCGTATGTGCAGTGTCGTGAACCGTAATGCTCATTCGACCATCTGGTTGGGCCCTGCCTGTGCATTTGCCGAATTCACCCAACACGACACTCTTTTGCCGACTTCTCTGAGTACGCGAGGCCATATTCCGCATACTATGTAGGTGGGTTTCTGTTTCATCCCCATAATCGGTGGGTGATGTGCTAGCCAAAGTATCGGATTCACTTGTGTCGGATCCATCGCCGTCTCCTTGACCTCCAAGACTATCCATGAACGGTATCCAAGCTCTGCTTGGGATCGACGCGGCGCGTTCTCGCTTGTCCGCAACGGCGTCCATCTGCCACATCTCCAATGCTGGATATCTGTTGCCCGAAACTCGGTTACCCGCTACCAGAGGCACGGCCGATTGCCTCGGAGGATTAGAAGCTTGTGAATAATTTGTTTCTTCGGAGTTTCTGGACACGCCGACTGTATGCAATGGATCGACTTCTTCGTCATCTTGATGTCTTGGCATTGTATTTGAGCTTTCCGGGGGAGCTATGACAAATTTGATGTTGGCTGCCATCGTGGCGTTTTGCTTAGAGCTCGAGTTGGGTTCGGGATCTTCCATTTGGCTCTGACTTTGGAAATCACATCACGCGCTGCGACCTTGAAATTGATCAAAATTGTGCTGAGAATCTCGCTACTTGGTCACAACAGATGCTGCTCAATCTAGGATGATTGGCGTGGTGTCAGTTGAGAGTTGTGGCCTTGGGGGGGGGGGGGGAATGGGGCGGGTCAGTTGAAGACCGGATTTTGCGCAAGATAACCCCTTAGTTACTGGGGAATGCATCTAATATATTTGAAAGTTCAAAGTTATGAATCAAATACTGAATTTTTACGTTTTATGGAGGGCATGAGGACGCGCAAATGTTTTTGTTATACGTTATGGTTCCGAATTCTGATCCTAGTGGAAGAGCACTGTGCCTCCTATGTAACGCCACCTTTGAATGATCCCGGAAGTGCCGGCTGCCAAAGTTTAAATGCTAGTCAATACGTATAGGGAGATCTTTTTGCCCTATTCAGCTGCGGGACGCAAGTCATTCCGGTCGCCTGATATTCTCAGTGCCGGCACTCCGTTGATTTGTTCAATGTAACAGCCCCGCCTGGCGTCTAGCCAGCTAACTGCATCTTTTCTAGCCATACGAAGCGTCACATTTTGAGGTAACTAAAGAACAGGTGTGGATGTAGATTCTTGGAACTGCAATCTAGACAACTTGTTGCCACCTGATAATAAACGCCTCTCACCGTCCATCCAATGGAGTTCGACAGCTTGTATGAAGCTTAACCCTTCACTTGGCGCTGCCTACAACTCATCACCGCAGCTGAATTGCAGCAAATTGTTCTCCAATAAAATCTTGCGCAATAGAAGCTACAAAGGTAGCCATGAAAGTGTGAAACAAACCCACTCTCATGAGACCTCCTTGGATAGAGGCCTCAGTAGACCAAGATCTAGATCCGGCGCCACCATTGTTGGCTAACAATCCATCTATGGGTGTAGCTGCGGATTGACGTTTACCGAGGGTTTGCTATTATTCAATGGTATAAGAACTTGCAACTCAGATCAGGGCACCACTAAGTCATTTACCACTCCCGGAATAATTGAGCTTCTAATTTAATCCTTATCTTACTCCGAGTCATCCATTTCGGACACTATGAAGCCCGAATTCAACACTACCTTAGTAGCCAGCAACACAAGGCTACAGATAATAACGACTCGTCTGAAAATGTAAGCCCCACTCCTGTCTTGTATTCAACCAACAGCACTATAGCATGCCAACGCGATAAATCCTTCACCACGCATAGATTGCTTGCAGACTAGTCGCTGTTGCCTAGCAAGGTAAACTCCTCTTGCAGTCGGCGTTGTTATCCCAACTGGTAGATAGCTAAGATGAGTGCAATTACAATGATATATACTTCTTTATATTTATTTACTACAGCTAAATACTTTCATAATATTACAATAATTCGATTAAATATACTTAATACTCTCTATAAGTTATATAATCAGTTATTGCCTACATATCCAGCCTGTGTAACAAACCAAGTCTTATAAGTCAGTACAGAGTACTTATTTCCAAGGGACAAACCTCTGTGTAACGGTCCATTATATCGTTAGGCTAATAGGGCAAAAGATTCAGCTAATAATCGCAATTGTAGCCATTTTTATAACGGAACCAGCTGCTTACAAGGGATCGACCTGTTACGAAAGACTAGATTGTAAAACTCCGGTTCTAGGTTTATGTTGGTGGACCAGTCAGGATAGTTACGGGCAGTGCAGTATCACGTGGCTAGTAGAAAGGTAACAAGTTCAAATCTGATTGCTATGTTAACAGCTGGCTATCTAAGCTGTCTGAACGAGTGTAGATAAATTAACTTATAAATCCAGTTGATCCTGGGCTCATTTGACTCGTTGAACGAGCTGATAGATTGCTGGCTTGTCTGGCTCGTCGTGCGATCTGTACGAGCCGGTTGCTATTGGCTAGTCGGCCCATTGTTGCGACAATAAGAGCCGGGTCGCGACACTGCTGTAATAGTTTAGTTTATATATTTACCGCTATTAGAAACTACCTTAACACGAATGCCCTGACTTGATGGACTAGCTTCAGCTAAGAAACAATCTCGAACATAGTCAATATCGCGCCCACGATATGTTTCAAAAAGCTCAAGGTCAAATCGTAAAAAGAGAGTAGCAAGAGTAATATACATTTCTGCATATGCAAAACTATTAACAGTGTTAGCTACTTCACGAAAACGAACACTGAAAACTTAACATACTCCATGCCCTGGCACATACGAGTTCCTTTTCCAAATGCGACGAAGGAGCGATTGGCTTGCTCGCTCGGATTGAACCAGCGCTCGGGATCAAACTTAAGCGGCTCAGGATAGATCGTGGGGTTATGAAGGACATCTGGATGGCTCATGCTGACTGGTGTATTAGCCGGAATGACCCAGCCCTTATAAGCAAGCGTTGTTTTAGATACAAGAGGAAGTCTAGATGTTGTTGCAGCCCTAAGTCGAAGAGATTCACGGACAGAGGCAGTCTATTGCGTGAAGTTAGCGCCAGATCTGGATTAATAACATGTTCAGAAGACTTTACCAGCCACGGCAGTTTTTCAAGAATTTTCAAGTCGGGTATTTGCTTATCATCACCCATTACTTCAAGTAGTTCGTCCTTGATTTTCTGCACAACATCTGGGTTATCAAGAAGGTGAAATATGGTATGAGCTAGAAGACGAGCAGTAGTTTCACTGCCTGCGAATAGCATTGTAGTTCCTTCCTGTTGTAGACGGACTGCACTCTTTTCGTGAGGTGGTAGTGCGCTTCTTTCGATGGAGTGAAAGAGCGTTGGAGGTCGCTCTAAACCAATTTTCGTATTGGAATCACCTTGGAGTTCCTTCTCTGTAGGACGAGGGCGGTCATCCCTGGTAGCAATATATTCTGAAACCAGGCTCATCATTGTCTGTTGTCTTGTTAGATGCTGATGAGACAACAATACAAAATATTCCGGGTCTCACCATATGGACTCCAAGAAGTCTTGACACATCTGGCAGTAGGTAAGAAAGTACTGCATGCGGGAAAGCCCTCACAATTCTAAGAATCCAAGGAAACTGTTTGATGAAAGGTGTTGCAGCTGCTACTGATACCATAGCATTTCTCCAACTTCGAGCGGCTTTAGGATCACTCATCAAACCAGACTCTCTGTCAAAGGCATAATGATAAAGAGTATCCGTAGTAAAAGCGAGTAGAACTGTGTCTAGTTGGATAGGCTTGCCCTCTGTAAAGTGCTCTTCGAATATACCTATCAACTCTTTGACATGTTGCTGAATTAAATTTTGTCCGTCCGAAATTATCGCCCGTTTCGAGAATAAAGGTGCATTAGCAACCCTTCTCTTCCGGTGTATACCATGCTCGACCGTTCCATGGCCTAAATAGCAAAAGCGGAATTAGAATTTTTACTAAAAAAAAAGAAAGAAAAAGAAAAAGAAAAAGGAAGCAACAGTAAAATTATTAAAGAAGATACTTACTTCCCAGAGGCAAACCCGCCATTCGAGCGGCCGGTGGGTACTTGTCACGCTGTGTTGGGTTTGGTGCATAGAGTGTGTCGAACCACAAAGGGTCCCTGATATGAATCTCATCTGGGTTTATGCGAACAATAGGGCCTGTAGAATTGTTAGCCATTGACTGATAAAATTTAAGAAATCTACATACCATATTGATCGTGCATGCGCTCGATTTCTTTGGCAAATTGCCCTCCTGGACTCTTTACTATGTCGTAATAAAATTCATACCATTTTGTCGCCGCGGCCAACTTGGGACCTGGAAATCGTGATAGTGGATGGAGAATGAGACGGTACACAAAAAGACAGCTTATAGTTAAGAAAAGACCAGAAAAACATAATGTTCCTTTACCAAGCATTAGCTTTGGCAAAAGTTCATTTAGAAGCCCTTGTGAAAGCATTTTTTTAAGGGGGAAGTCTCCTAACGCTACTGTATTGAAAACAGAAACTGTTTGGGAGTTTGAACTATTTCAACCGACGTATATATTGCAAGTAGCACTGTTAATATAAAGCCTTTATTCTTATTATTACTTCAAGTTACCTAATACTATGTAGCCTAACAAAAATAACTAGGCGGTGTAACTATTTCTCTGCGATATACTCCGTACGTAAACCCCTGCTTGATATTACAAGATTATGACATGGTACCTGGTTCTAGTTAAACAGGGGTCGGGATATTCCAAGATTATGACAAGGTACCTGGTTCTAGTTAAACAGGGGTCGGGATATTCCAAGATTATGACAAGGTACCTGGTTCTAGTTAAACAGGGGTCGGGATATTCCAAGATTATGACAAGGTACCTGGTTCTTGTTAAACTGGGGTCGGGATGTTCCAAGATTATGACAAGGTACCTGGTTCTTGTTAAACTAGGGTCGGGATGTTCAAGATTATGACAAGGTACCTGGTGCTACTTAAACTGGGGTCGGGATATACTAAAACGATACGAGTACTCCGTAGCAGTATCTTATCCAATCTAATAGCACCAGTATCTAACCAAGAGCCTAAAAATATCTCAACTACCGAGAGTAGTAGTTAACCCACTTATTGCGAACCTTTGTTATCTTTAACTATCTATTACTTGACTGTATAAACGAAAATAACAATGCCTTATAATGTCGTAACTTTATATGATAGTTTTTTTATAGTTTTTTTATAGTATTAAATAAATAAATAAATAAATAAATAAATAAATAAATAAATAAATAAATAAATAAATAAATAAATAAATAAATAAATAAATAAATAAATAAATAAATAAATAAATAAATAAATAAATAAATAAATAAATAAATAAATAAATACATAAATAAATAAATAAATAGGCATATCCTGATTCTTGTTTACGCATAAGGTTATTATAACTCAACTTTTCTATTATTATATAGGGTGCACCTAATAAGCTAAGAGGATATACCAACTTCCTTACACCGAAAGTAGGAAAGCTCTTCTGAGTTACGAAATATATCTCATTAATAGTATTCAAGGGGCTCGTATTACTTTGAGGGAGCAAACCCTTGTTTAGGGGCTTCTTGTTAAGTAATAGAGAGTCAGCACTTGGATATCTCCGTTACCAAAGTTTTTCCGTAATCCGCGCATGATCCGCCTGCCTGTCGCTCAACTGGCCGTTCTTGGTTTGTATATTATGTCTAAGAGACTTTGAAATGGCCGAGATTACTTCTAAGCTCTTCCCAGGGAAATATATCAGACAACAGGGATATCGGCCACCCCGAAAGTCAGCACTTAAATTCTCGCAAGTAGACTAAAGATAAAGGAAAAAACTATCCCAATAATATCGCGATACGTTTTAGCCTTAAGCAGTTACAATATACAATAATATGGTTAGTTGTGGTGGTGTTAGAAGGAAAAGGCAGTGGCCGACTCCTTAGGGGGCCAACATCCCCACATCTATGTTAATCTTTGCCTAACCAGTACGTAATCAAGTATTCGTTGCATTTGAGCTATTCACTTGAGAAGGTTTAGTATATATATGGATCAATATTTCTGATGCAAGTGCACCTCTACTATACCACTATTACCTATATTGTTATTTTCGAGCGCTCATATATTCATTCACTATAATGGGTTCTTTAACCGATCCTCGAGAGGAGCTTTTAGCGAAGATGAAATCATGCTCGATTGTTATTCCTGAGTTGCAACCAATGTTCACAAGTTGGCCGGCTGCTGTTAATCCTGAATGGAAGAATATTGTCTCTGATATGAATGCTAGAATATCGAGGTATGTTCCATATGCTCTGTCAGTGTCTCGTAACTAATATTTATTCTGTGTGTTATAGCCTTTATTCAGATCCAGTTAAAGTAGCAAAGCTCCAAAGTTGCGATTTCGCCTTGTTTGCATCGGCTTGGTGGCCACGAGCGCCCAGAGAACAGCTACGGATACTGGCCTATCTGGCCTTCTGGCTCTTTATATGGGATGACGAGATTGATGAATCCACTGGAGCTTTGAGTAACAACTTTGTTGCTTCCGAGAAATACCGATTGGATACTATGCATTATGTTGCGCAAACACTGGGACTTCATAATACATCCGATACCGATTCTAACAAACATGGCTTCGTCCCTCTAAATGCAATCATTCGCAGTTTTGATGTTATTGGCGAGGCATTATCCCAAGCCTACAATATTGGTATACCTCGACGAGTTAGATCGTTTAACTAAGCTGACCATTTTACAGAACAACGGAAGAGATTCTTGCAGGAGATGGACTTTTTCATACAAAAAGCTCAAGTAGAGCAGAAGTCAAGACTTGATGGCCGTATCCTTTCTCTAGAAGAGTACTGGGATATTAGAATGGGAACTAGCGCAGTAGGCGTAATTATGGCTGTTAATGAGTAAACCCCCCCCCCACAAACAGTCTTGGCTATTGACAGGTTCACTAATATATATGCAATAACAGATTTAGTGCAAATGTCAGAATCTCAGATGCTATTATGGATCATCCAGATATGAGAATCTTATGGGATGAATCTAATATTAATGTATCAATGTAAGTCGCAGTAGCTTAACTAACAACATCAGCTGATAATTGTATAATATAGTATCAACGACCTTCTCTCATTAAAAAAAGAGATTGTAAGTCCTATCCTTTATGTATTAGTGTTTTTGTTACGCATGCTAATTGTGCCTTAGACCAAAGGTGCTATCGACAGTTTAATCCCGGTCCTCTGTGCAAAGATTGATGCACCACAGGCTGCTATTGACATTGCATTGAGCTCCCTTCAAGAGTCTATGGCTCGCTTCGACGCTACTGCATGGAAGTTGCTTAATACAATTGACGCCGTATCGTATGATAAAATGACCACTTACGAATTCATTCAAGATTGTCGATTTAACTGCTCAGGTAATCTTTACTGGAGGTACTATCTATGATCCCACTCTTTATCTCTTATATATATAATCTAATACATCTGCAGCTTACGTACCCCAAGATATGGAATGTGTAACGCTCCTAAGAACCCAGATGGTGCATTTTTGCTTGAATTTTAAGAGGTGCTTGTCACGATCCGGCTCTTATAGTTGCGACAATGGGCCTACGAGATAGGCAAACCCAGATAAAAGTCGGACCGACCGACCAATTAGAGAAGGATTATTAGATTTAATGACCCAATAATCCAAGGTACAGATCATCAGAAATAGGGCTGATCCATGAGATGGATTGGAATTCTAAATAATCTAGCCAAGTTAACTGGGTATATAAATTCACTTCGTTACACTCATTCAGAGAGCTTAAATAGCCAGTTGTTAATATTGCAATTAGATTAGAATATATTTACTACTTTCTTAACTATTGTAACAATGAGTTATATTGTTCTGCTCAACAGAGTAAAAGGTTAAGTTAATAATTTTAAGTATAGTAATTATAACATAGGATTAGCTATTAATGAATGTTTATAATTATAGTAGACTAAATTATAATATAATAATTTTCCTTTTTTAATTAGCTTATCTTTAAATTTTAGTGCTATAAGATAGTTAGTTATTTTTAGTAATTTTTAACAGCTGTTTTAAATTCTGAAAGTATCGTAATAATCTCTATAATATTTTTTTATAAATTATATTAGTAATAAAAGTTTAATATAATTTAGTGTATAACTTAATAATAAACTAAAATTAAACATTAAGTTAGTAAACTATTAAAATAATTTAATAATAATTTATTATATTATATTATTAAATAATATTATAATATTTTAATTTTTATTTTTAATATAGGGTAATAGTTCCTAAAGTAATAAGCTTAAGTTATAAGTTTATATTAGTAAAAAAGATAAAAAGTAATTTTTAAGTAATTATAATTTTAAATATATAAAAATAAAATAAAAAATATAATTTATAATTTATTTTAATATTTTATTAATAATTAATTATTTAAACTATTTAAATAAACATAATAAAGTGAATTTATATATTTAATTATTTTTATATTTTTACTTAAATTTATATTAATATATTTATATAAATAAAGTTATTTTTATAATTTTTAAAATATATATTATTATAAAATAAAAAAAGCTATATTTTTATTTAATTAATTTTATTTATATTTTTATTAAAGTATATATTTTTTATTAAATTAAATTATAATATAATATTTTTTTTATTAATTTTAGTTTTAAAATTTATATATAAAATATAATTTATTTTTATAATAATTTAATTTTATAAAAAAAATTTTTATATTTATTATATTTAAAAGTATTATTAAATAATATTTTTTTAATTTAAAAAATAAATTAAATTATTATAAAATAATTGTTTTAATAATTAAAATTATTAGATTTTTTATTATATTTTATTTTTATTATAAAGTTAATAAATTACTTTATAAAATAATAATTAAATATTTAATATATAAAATATATATATATTATAGTTATTTTTATAATAAAAATAAAATTTTATTACTTAATAGTAAATAAAGTATTATTTAATTAATAATATTTATATTAATTTTTTATAATATAATATTTAATTATTAAAGAAAAATATATGAATATAAAAAAATATTAAATAAAATAAAGCTATTATAATAATAATAGTAAATAATATTATTAATTTAATAAATAAAAAAAAAGTTTATATAATTAATTAAATTAAAAAAATAATATAAATAAATTAATATTTATAAAAAATAAATATTTTATAAAAATATTTATTTTTTAAATAAATTAAATAAAATAAATTAAATTAAATTAAAAATAATTATTAATATATAGGTTTTTAATAAAGTTAATATAATGAATTAAAATATAGTTTTTAATAATATAACTTAAGTTTTTAATAAAACTTTTTTATTAATATTTAAAAGTTAAAGCTTTTAATAAATTTTTAAATATTATAAATAAATTTATAATTTTTTTATTAAGTAAAATATTTAATTTTATTATTATATTTTAAATTTTAATATATAGTAAATATTTTTTTATATTTTTTTTTAAATATTATAATTTTATTTAAAGTTAGTTTTTTTATTTTTTTATTAATTTATATTTTTTTTTAATAATAATATAATAAATATTAAATATTTTAGTTTTATATTTTTAAATATTTTAAATTTATAATTAATTTTTTTAATATTTTTTAAAATTTTAAATAATTTAATTTTTTTAAAGTTTAATTTATTAATTAATTAATTTATTTTAATATTTAGTATTTTATAGTTTTATAAATATTAAATTAAATAAATTATCTTTTTTTTATAAAAAGTTAATTTTTTAATTTTATTTTAGTTTATATAATATTTTATATATTTCTATATAAGTTT